TGATTCATTGGCCACTCTCTCGGTTTTTAACTCCCTAAAAATATGTGCGGCCCGCCAATGACTTGCAACCTTTAATTTTGGCCCGCGGACGACAAAAGTTTGCCGACCCCTGGTTTAGACAGTTCACAGTTGCCGAGCTCAGCGGCAGTCTGATTAATAGGTCCCGAATAAATAATCTGAAACGGCACTGATCACAGTTTCAGAGTTGATTGCCAGAGTTAGACTGTTTTAATAGGCTGATCATTGTTCATAGTTCGTCGAGTTTAGCTCAGTTGAGATCGAATTCAAATGCTGTAGTGAGGAACCGCCTATATATTGTGACAGTCACTTCCGTGGGCTTTGCAAGACGATTTATCTGTAAAACAAAAATACTAATGTCACAAATATTTCAGGACATAAGGTACTTAATAATATAAATTATAAAAGATACAACAAATACAATAACAACATAATTAATCGTCTGATAAAGCATGTAAAATTGTTTCATTGTGTTGATTTGATGTTAAAGGTGGGTTAGCAAGCAACATTCTATTATTTTATTCGATTCTACATTTTGTTTTAGGATTTTCGACGTTTTTTATTTACATGAACTCGACTTAGTTTTCGAGACTCGAATTTTTATGAAAATTGACCCGTCAGAAATCGATGATGACGTAGTAGTGAAAACTCGTCAACGGAGTTTTACATTAGGTTAAAGGCATTTTGGGCGATTCGCGTTTTTATTTTGGACGGTGTGTCAGTGACTTAGTTCTATTGGGTTATTTGGGTATTACAGTTTAAAACGGCGTAGTATGTTGAAACCTATACCAGTATTTTCAATTAATTTCAGTGCAATGTTGTCAATGACTGTGAACTCTTTCTGCTGAACTATTACGGTATTGCTGTATTGTAACATATTCTAATATTTTTAGTATTCTTTGTATATGAATACACTCTGTATCGGGTTTTGTTCTCTCTTGTGAATCTATAATCCGTTATTTTTTGTTACATCGCCAGTACACGGTACCGTACAGTAAATTGACGTTATATCTATACAGTAAATATCCTATTCCTGTATTAAAATGCCTAGTCGTTGTGTAATTGGAGGTTGCTCCAACACTCACAGAGATGGTGTATCATTGCACAATTTTCCCAAGGATGAAGCAAGAAAAAAATCATCGGTTAAATTAACTCGATCTGATTACTCCTGTGGAACACACAAAATACCAATAATCTGCAGTGAACATTTCAGTCCAGAAAGTTATGCTGAAGTGGAGTCATCCTATTATGATAAGGGCAAAAAGAGAGTTTTACCCGAAGTTGCATTGCCTTCTATAAAAAGAGGCAGGGAATCTCATTTAGAAAAAATACAAGATATGTGGTGCAGAAAAGAGAGAGGGCGATGGTTTGTAGAAAGAGATTATCTAATGACAGGTCAAGTTTTCATATATGCATATTTATGAGTTTATGTTTATTTAGATCGCCAGTGGCTTTTCACATGATGAAGCTTCGTCATCACAGGTGCAGTAATATTATTCAGTAAAAGTTAGAAAACAAATATAAAATCAGTTATTCTTCTGAAATTTTTCTTAAAACTTTTCTTAGCAAACACTTATTGATCAAACTCAAGACCCAAAAGAGACTACGTGCAATAAAACAGTTACAGAGTTTAATGTACCTATAATAAATAAAATCGACTGTTAAAAATGTATTGCCTGGACATATTTGTTGGGGGAAAGTCTATATAGCGACTAAGTCTCAAATACAGCTTTCACTTTTATCTTATTCAAAGTAAAATGTATGTGATACAACAGAAATACCTATTGCATAATTGCATGTTATACACCTAAACAATATATCGAAGATACACGGTACGGAAAAATAATATAAGTGCGTTGTACACCGATTACAGTTAGGCAATGAATAGGATAGGCAATGGATAACCGGAATGATTCCGGTTCTACCAATTAAATAATAGACCCTTACATGTCGTTAGTTATCAATGGTTACCGGCCGGCCTACGTTTGGAGCGAGTATTCGTCGTACTTGAAAAAATAATTTTTGCTATTCCCTCCTGAACTATTTATGTTTAAACTACTTGAAATAGTCATAGTTACAATCACTGCGCACATGATAGCTAATGGTGTCTCGTACAGCTGGTAGTTTAATAGTTCATGTAGAGATTCTGAGGTCACCTAATGTTAGGGTTTTTTGCTTATGAGTTAGTTTTAACATTGCTTCCAGCGAAACTTTTTCTAAAAATAACCCATCCACCTTTTAACCATTCAATGCAAAATGCCTTTCAGCGGCACTGAGTGGATGATATACTAGAACGTGTTTTGTTTAAACGCAAATCAAAAACACCAATATGTATTGCGACAACACATATTTTTTCGTTTCATCCAGATGGAAGCATGGGAATGCTTTATCAAGGAGAGAATTTAATTGCTATAATCATACAAGGTTTTCGACGCAGTCGTTAGCAAAGGAAATAAAATTATCCAAATAGAGTCTGCAATGTATTCATATTCGTGGTAATGAGCTCGATCACATAATTTTAAATGGAGAATGTTTGTACTCAAGTTCATGGTGGTGAGCGTACAAAGCGGAGACTTCAATTTGTAAAAACAGAATTGAATAAGAACTCTTTTACAAATGACGTAACTCGACATTGAATCAAAGTGGATTCACTCGAATACAAGTATGCCCAACTCTACTAAAAAGTACGGCCTAGCTTTCACATTTGGTTTGGTTATATATTTGCCCTTTTTACTATGCCGAGATCAAAGGACGATATCAGAGGAAAGGTATGCAAAGGTAACGACATTTACGTGTGTAATCGTGAACAGATTCTTTTTTTAGTATTCGGTAAGTGGGTATTCGTTTTCAGTAATTTTTTGGTCCACCTAACTATTGCAGCAGCAAACGAGAAACAAAAACTGTGTAATGAAATTTGCAAATCAAATGAACTAAAGAAAACAACATGACTAATCGTTTTAGATAAACTGAATAAAATAGTTCGTATATTGGCCACGGTTGAACATTGTTGGTGGGTGCACTGTACGCAACTTCAAAAGTGTTGTTAACAAATGAGGGTAGCTCGCTATACTCGAATAAAAACTTCATAAGCTATTTCAAGTTTCTGCTTAATATATTCGATCGATTTCAGAATTGATGTATTGGCGATGTTATCCAAGCGCTGGGCACACCTGAGATGTGAAACTTCATGAATATTGGGGATCTACACTTAGAGCACATAGGAAGAAGCGGGGAACACATCAATACGAATTTATTCAGCAAAAAGTTTTTTCTATCAATTTGTGACTTGTGATACAGCAAATGAAAAGTTTTAATTTATTTTTGCTAATCGTTATGACCATCGCAAAGTCTCAATCGGTTCCCTCTGAGCATGAAACTCTAACGTTAACGTTTATCTAGTCCTGAGTCGTCATGTATCACTTGCGAGACATAACATTTTCTTCACAATTTGTTCCAGTAATTTTCAAAATTTTTAATTTCTATTTAACCTTACTACGTACTTTTCAAATTATTATCTACTATAAACCCCAAATTAAACATTCATGGGAACAAGGCACATAGATATCAATATAAAAAGTAAACAAATGTAGATTAAATGTCAGCTGATATAAATGCTACAAGACTTTAAAGTTTTATTGACTTTTATGTATCATTCGTTCATTCGTGCATATTCTCGGGGGATGTGAGTGATGGATAAATATAAACACGACAATATTTTTGATTTTACTTTCGCATAAGTCTCCTGTTGGCTTCTATGAATTGACACACCTGCCTTTTCAAGTTGGTTCGAAGAAGGCCAAAAAATTCCAAGCACTCAAGAAAATATCATTGGCATTAATATTACTGAACATTATTAACTATTACTTGCGTGTTTATTACTCAATGTAACAATAACAGGTCAACAAATATTGCGCTTGATATGGAAAACATAACACTTGAAGGTGTTTGCGCAATGGTTAAAATTAGAATGGCTTGTCAAATATTAGATAATGTAGAAAGTGCTTGGTCATTCGAATGTTAATGTTTATATCGAAAGATTCTTCCAATGGCACCATTAGTTCCATTGATCGCCACGATGAAGATTCTAGTTTTGTTTGCCTTGATTGGAATCTCAGTAGCAGCAGTTGATTATACCGGGTGAGCCTTTTCTATACGCTTTCCCCATATTTGTGTGTCCAACCATAGTTCAATAAAACTTTAATGATAGAACGACAATTATAAGTTGATTGAATGGTCGTACTATTGTTTGCAGGCACCAAGTTTATCGATCATATCCTACCCCGGGAGAAAACGAACTTCTTCAGAGATTTGGCAAAGTATTTGAGGTACATTATGCTATATTTATACTAGACTATGCAATAAAAAAAATTCAAAAACACTGAAAAGAACAGAATATTTAGATGATTAATAATTTTGAAAATAATTCAAATATAAATATTAGTAATAAATTATTAATTGTTTTGAACTTTTTATGGAAACTTTTAGATAAATATTCTACAATTATTTTCTCTAAGCTTGATTTTTGGTCTGATTATCGCCATGGTGATGATTTTGTCGACTTCAGAGTGTCACCAGAACTTCGGTCAAATGTTAATGAGTTTCTGACAAAAAACAGGTAATGCAACACGGAATATACTAGAATACTTTGAGAAAAATCGAATATTCCACTACGGAAATTTTAGTAAATACAATTACAACACAACAAATTGTAACACATTGTACAAATACAATGTCCAATAGCAACAAGCGCTACAACTCAAAAAAGTGAAATTTCCATTTTTGTTACTGCGATTACACTAAAATATTACGATCTAGGAACCAAGTGACATTCTCAGCACATTGATATTCTGCAATATTTTAATTTGTTTGAGGCTAAACGAATGACTTTGACAGTTTTATAATATTTCAGGATCAACTACGAAATTTTTATTGAAGATCTTGGAATTGCCATCGCCAGAGAGAGGAAGCCTAAACTGTCGAAAATGAACGATGATTCGTTTAATTATTTTGTATATCACACTGTTGACGAGGTAATATTTGTTAAATGAAACATCCTGGAGAACTATCCGTGAATTAAAAGCAATTAGTCATAGCTATGTAGGATTTTGCAAAAATTAGTCATACAGTGAATATGTGAATCAATATAACATTTTTGACGAAGACTGAATGGAATTCTTTGATTCTGAATCAGGAGATCGTTAAATGAATTTTTGCCTAAACTTTCTCATTTTATCAATTCAAATAGCAAATTGGCAATTGTTTTGTAGTCTAGTATCTGTCCTTTATTAAACCTATAAAATCCGTCTCTTTCGACCCTATTCAGATTGACGAATGGATTACATCGTTCACTAAGGACAATTCTATTGCATCGGTGGTAACTATTGGATCCGGAAAATCGTATGAAGGCAGAAACATGCGTGGTTTGAAGGTACCGGCATAAACGCAATGGTATATAGACAAAATTAAAAAAAAAAGCATAGGCTATACATAAAATTTTGCTATTCAGAATTGTGCCTTTACCCATTCGGATTTATGATGCATCACGAGATTTATTTGAAGAAGAAAATATAATCTGTATAAGGTTCAATAGTGCTATAGGAGTTGAATACCATCTTAATTGAACAGTGTTATCAACACCGATAGAGTACTGAAATATCGTTACTTATCTCGCAGATCAGCACCGGGAGTGACAGACCGGCGTTTGTGATCAATTGTGGCATCCATGCTCGTGAATGGATAACACCTGCTACTTGTCTGTATACTGCAAACAAGGTTTGAAATAATATACGTAGAGACTAGAGAGTGGGACGCATTTTTGTGATTGTGGGAATGAAATTGATGACGCCAACTGTCCATTCCATAACCGTACTTAAAAAAGATTTTTTAATACATAATGTTCTTCTCAAGCATATGCATAACAATAATATTGCAATTGCTTAAGCTCAAAATTTGTTTAAAACGTCATTTATCTATCGCCTATAAACTCTAATTATGAATTAATGCCATCCAAACTATTTGCATCTGTTAAATTATTCATCACTCGGACTTATTTTCCGAATGTTATAAAATAAACTCTCTATAATATATTTGATATTATATTTTACTTGGTAAATAATGCCTCAAGTACCGGTGCCGCTAATAATTTTTATTCTGTTGCAGCTGATGAACGAATATAACATGAACATGACAATAACTCACCTGATGAATGGTGTGGATTTCTATCTCATTCCCTCATCGAATCCAGATGGTTACGCTTACACTTGGTCGAATGTTAGTATAAATAATGCAAACGTAAAACAACTTCACAAATTTGGAATTTTGACAATAAAAACCATACTTATTCTTCGTTTTGCAAACAGGACAGGATGTGGAGAAAAACAAGAAGCAAATCTGACATGTGTGACACATGCATAGGAGTTGACCCAAACAGGAATTGGGATTTCCATTGGGGTGGTATGAATTCGTTCATTTATATTTGATTTCTGATGATTGAACGTAAAAAAGATGGATTTACAAATATTATTCGCCAAATATATAATTCCGTATATACTCCACATGTGTGTCAAGTTCAATATCAATTTTCAGGTCAAGAGCGAGTTTCTCGATTTTAAGTACCAAGTTCCATTCTGGATGGGTCATATGAGGCGTACAGTCTGTAAAATAAGTCATTAATGCCTTTGATACAAAACTTCGGGAATTTCCGCTGTCTTTTTTTTACTAGCATGATGATGCTTGACATATGACGTTTTTTGAATCTGTAAATTTTATTGACAATGTGATTACAGACTTAAAAGTACATAACCAATACGTCGATCTTTCCGGTTTCTAAGTTTTTCGAACTTTACTGTTAAAACATTTAGAAATTTCATGTACGAACTTGGGTACGAAACGTATAATATTGGATATAATTTCATTTAGAAGCAGGATCGAGTTCGGATTGTTGTTCGGAATCATACAAAGGTTCAGTCGCATTTTCTGAGGTAATTATTGCAACGGATTAAATTTTTTTTTAAACAATTACTATGATCTTCGACTAACTAGACCAGGGTGGTTCAAACCAAGGCCCGCGGGCCACATGTGGCTCGCTGTATCATTATCTGTGGCGCCACATTTGTTGATATAGGTAACAATTGGTGATACCCATAATAAATAACATAATATAACAACGATATATAATAAAAATAAATTCTATAAAGATTCCGGCACACTGTCGCATCACTAGCGTCGTTGAATTTACTTGTGACAGAGACAGCTAAGACAGTCAGTGGACAACAGTGACTTTGTTGGAGTAATTGAATTTTGTGCTTGGACAGCCTAAACTGATTTAAAAGTCGGTTATTCGATTCGCCACCCTTGAATGACTTAAAACTTCTACAAATTCATTTTTTTATTTGAAAATATTCGTTAACAATAGCTCAATATTCACATAGACAACTAAAAATCAGCCTAGCATTATTGCCTACCCCTGTCGCGTTGTCTTTTGTAATCAGCGTGGACACTAACAGTAACACTTGGTGCCTATATGTCAGAAAATTTAGTAAATACTAATTAATGTCGCGATATTACCCTGCTGTAGCATACTTCATAATTGCCGAAATTTATAGTAATCGATCAATCTGACGTGAAAGTCGATTTAAAAACGCTTCGAAGGACCGATTTAAACAGAATCTCAACTCGATATGGGGAAAAAAGTATTTGCTTGAGGAAAACAAAGCCTAAATGCTTGATATGTCTCCAAGTTGTGTCGGTTATAAAAGAAAAAGTCTAAAGCAGCATGTTATCGACGTACGGGACCGCTTCATTTATGAAGACTCTTTCTCCGTTGTAAAGAGTCTGAAATCTAGTCGACAACAGGTAGGGAGACGAATCATTGGATGTCAATTAGAGATTTTCAACGACCAACATAACTGTTGATTTAAAATCATTGGTTAATGATATATAATAATCAAATATCTTGGGACTAATGTAGCCCGCGAACAATACAAAACTAATATTGTCGCCCCGACAACCTTGGATCACCCTGAACGAGGCTGTCGCCGTATACTTGTGATTTCTCTACGCCCCCTACAGGCTAGATTAGAACAATATCTACCATTCTCTAAATTTGGAAATACGCCTATTAAATGAAAAGCTCGGAAAAGTATATACGACTACGTGTACGAAGGTCTTGATAAGTTTCGATACGAAATCATCTTTAAAATCATTTGCCTATAGTGGGTTCAAAATCATACATTTCTTTTTATAGATTGAGACAAAAAATCAACGAGATTTTGTTGAAAGTATAGAAAATGTTAGAGCGTACATAGATGTCCATTCTTACAGTCAGACATGGATGTATCCATATGGATATACAAAATCTCCGGCTCCAGATGCAGCTATATTGGTAAGTATTACAGAATTTGTACAATTTATTCACAACTTTACTTTGCATTTTCATGTGATATTAATCGCTTGTGCTGCCATGTCTTCAAAACTGTATTTGTTAGCTATAAATCTAGTAAAGTACCGGTGTATAGAGTGAGGGTGAGAACGAGTGATTTATCTTTTAAAAAGAGTAAAAATAGGCCAGGCTCACGAAAAATACGTTACAAGCAGAAAATATATTGTGCGAAGCGACTATCTAAACTAATTGCACATTCTTGAGACCAGTAATTATTTTTCAGGAGAAAATTGGAAGAGACAGTGTGTCTGCTATATCCAGCGTAGATTCCCATGTTTTTCAGACAGGATCGATTTCTGATGTCGTGTGTAAGTTATTTTACAGAAATTACTGTGTCGCAACAATAATGAGCATGGAACTTTTTTGCATATGTGAAGCGAACATCAGAAAAAATAACGATGCTCTATTTGGTCTGGAAAAGAGTGAATGAATGTGCATCCTACAAACACTTTATTATTATTTAAGGGCACGAAAATCTTCGCTGAATCGCTTTGAAAAAACTCATCAATCCATTGTATTATGTTTACTTTGGGAAATGTGGTTTTAGAGACCCTGCAAACCTTTGTAGTAATTTACACGTTTTCATATTTTGCTCCTCCTCTTCTAAATCAGGCCAATTTATTTATCATTAAAATTGATTCCTCTTCTAAATTGAATCAAAAGTGATCGCCTTCAACATATTTTTATGTCCAGATGTCGCTAGTGGAAGCACCGCTGATTTCTTCTACAGCAAAGGTATAAAGTGCTCATGGGGAGCAGAACTTCGTGATACAGGAAAATATGGATTTATTCTTCCAGAAGAGTATGTATTATATTTATAGTATGGAAGGATGCGGCGCACCAGGAAGCATTGTATCTAATTTTCAACAAAATAGGATATATGCATCATAAGTTCAGTAAAGCAAACCATATGTTGTTGACCTAACGTCACGTCCCATGCGATGGTGCTTCGAAGTTTCGCCAGATTGTACTCCAGCAATTTACCCACGACGAGACAAATAAAATGGAATTTGCATATGCTGTTTTAATATAGTTGACTCACTTAATATACTTTCTTTCTTTTATTTCGCAGCCAAATCGGCAAAGGAGCTGAGGAGGCTTTCCAAGGTTTTATGGTTATTGCGAAGAACATACCACTGGGTCCTTGCTAGAGTTATGAAAGGAAAATGATCGTTTGAAAAAGAATACTTGAATATTTTGTGCAAAATAAACATTTTAAACGTAAGCGAATAAAATGAATTATTCCGTATAAAATTGAATTACTTATCTTTATTACGGGGAATTATTAGCATATCATATGCACAATGACCATCTGACCACGCTGTTGGTTTGCAGACAAACAAGGTAGCCTACTCCAATCCAGCAGAGAACCATCTTTGTCCGTTCATCTCTGAACCGATTTATGGATTTGAAATGAGCTCAAGTTGTTGTTTACACGATGAAAAACTACCGTAATAAAATGCATATGATAAACGAAAGTCATATATAAATCGACTATAGCTGTACTCGCAAAGCCTTATTTTACACAACAAGCAGAACTCACGCAGGTTAATTAGAGGGGCGATGACAAACTTTGTTATAATATTTTCGTTTAAATTGCCGTGAATTCTTTAGAATCTGGATTATAGAAAGTACAAATCAAATTTGTCTAACAATAGATGTATCCCTCTGACTCGACCCTTAGGACTAGAAATATTCTTGCTATACTCAACCATTGCTATATTTTGGTGCTTATTTTAAGAGCGTTTTCCGCAATTTGCCTCTACAAACAGATGCAATGTTTTTAATCGTCCTTTCGATTTAAAATATCAAACCCTCCATCACTTAAAATATTGATAGCTTATTTTTTCGGTAGTCTATCCGCAGCCTTTTGGGGTCAATTTTTGATTGCTGCTACTAAATAAACCTAAGTCATTCAAATCCCATCCTACGCGCAAAAAAAACTGGCATAAACAAATCAATTTTGAAAATTCCCTCTTATAGGGGATGTGATCACCAGAGCAGAAATTTGCATTTTTCTAGTTATCTTTTATTGTAAACGTGGGCAGTTTTATGTATAAAGTGATTTTTAAATGTGTTTCAATATTTTCATGACGATAAACATGGTCAGGTTTTTTGATAATCGTACATTAAAACTTTAATGGGCGTGGAGTTTCCGCTGGCGTCTCTCCTCCTAGACCATGACATCCTGCCAAGCTGTTATAGTCTGTGAAATATGCGCTCCAACTGCGGCACTAATATAGCCTTGGGTACTGGACGCGTTTAACATTGACACGACCGTACAGCTAGCAACCATTTACTGAGGGCATGCTGGCGTGTTATTTAAACTAGCGGTACAGTACCGGTATCCTAACTAGGTTGAAAAACATGTCAGCATGCCTTATGAGAAAGGTTCGCTGAATCTGACTGAATACGTGAATGTGAATAAACGACCATTTCAGCTAATCCTAACGACAAACACGGTGTGTGGTGGTCCCGGCACTGGTATTCTGTTACCGGTAATATATAGTAAGAAGCACGAGCAGTTGGACCGCATATTTTACAGACTACAACGTGTTGGCAGAATGTCATAGTATATTGAGAGAGACGCTAGCGGAAACACCACGTCCGTTAAAATATCAATGAGCGATTATCAAAAACCTTGACCATGTTTATCAATATAAAAAAAGATAAAAAAAAAATATTCTATCTTTAAAACTGCACAAGTCTACCATGGAAGATAACCAGAAAATTACAAAAAATGCTAATTTCTGCTCTGGTGATCACATTCTCCATAAGAGCTAATGTTAAAATCGTTTTGTTTATGCACTTCTATTTTTCGCGCGTAGGATAGTTTTGAATGACTAAGCTAAGGTCTATTGAAATGGATAGGATAAGACACGTGCCTGCAAAACAAAATTACAGTCAAGTTATTTGGTTTATACATAAATTTTGGATAAACTGACGAATAGTTAGCAATGCCACCAAAACGAACCACAGTTTAAAAATGTGCTTTTCAAAGCTGTCCGCGTGGAATCGTGGATCGTGCTAAGCGTTAGGAATACGTTCGCCACCACATCTCTGATTACCTTACGTTGGTTCGCAGTATTGAGGTGTCACCTCAATGGTTCGCAGGTACGAATTCTATACGGGGATGATTATGTGCGAGAGGATTGCCGGACTCCTCGCCGCCGTAGGGTGATTCACGTAACCTCTGATCGGTTTAGGCTTTCTCCACTATCAAGTCCATGCTTCCGAAAACAAATACCTAGCTAACTAATCCCATACCCGACAATCGACTCACGCAGGGTCACAATGGATTGGTAACCGTACGAAAGGCCATGATTCATCATATGATTAACCCGTCTTATCGACTTTTCGCTCCCCGCGATAAATATGTAAATCCTATCCTATATATTTCAATTGTTTCATCAACTTTACTACGGAAAATGAACAAAGACGTGGATGCTCCGGAAAACATCAATTGCCTCAGAAGATATGTCCGTGATATCAGCGTTTTCCGAAGACGTTGAACTAATATGCACACTTCTTTTCCACAAGCTAGAATTTTTTCAAACCCCACAATGTGATAAGTAGCTAGAAACTATATCTCACTCGTAATGACCGGATATCTTTCAGCGCAAAATAAAAATTTCGTTTTTCTACCCCTCCTACATCGATGTTTAGTTTTTGAATAGTGGACAACACATGCTATTCGAACATAGTTTTTTTTTATTCAATATTATATGCACATGTTATATTTAATCATAGCGCATTTTGCTTTTCGTTACTATTTCGGAATACTTTTCACTTTGTCTCTTTCCAGTTTACGTTGCGAATGTCCATTTTATTTTCCTCGACCCAGATTTTTTATACTCACAAGTCAAAATAGTTCGCTTCGTTTTATTTTTAAATAGGTATTGTAAACATGTTTGGAGTCTGTTTCAAATGCAGGACCGTAAATAAATACTAATACAGTACAGTGCAATCATAGAGAGCCATAGTCCACAATTGAAAATTTATGCTTCAGTGCTTTGGGAGTAAATGCTTGACTGAGTTTCAGACCTTCGATCTCTTTAGCCCGTCAGTATGTCGAAGAGAGGTTAGTGATTCTCGATTATATCCTGTTAGATCCTTATATTTATTCGAGTTATGACTAATATAATAACGAGCTACGACGAATAAAATGATTTTTTAAATTTTAGGACGTGGAGGATCATCTGGAGGGAAGTTTCGGATGTCCATCGGCTTGCCCGTTGGTGCCGTAATCAACTGTGCCGACAATACAGGTAAGACTTTATACTTGAGCAAAGCAGCGTGTCATATCTTATTTTTTTAATTCTGTTGCACATATTTTAGTTAGCTATGTGACTTCGAACTTGTTTTTATTTATACAAATCTTTGATTTTGAACTCAACTTTTTTAAGGTGGCAAAAATTTGTACATTATTTCGGTTTATGGCATCAAAGGACGCTTGAATCGTCTACCTGCTGCAGCTGCCGGGGATATGGTTTTGGCAACTGTGAAAAAGGGGAAACCTGAACTTCGAAAAAAAGGTTTGTATTTTTATATCATCAAATCCTTACAAGCAGACCTAGGTTACAAACAAAATTTCGCTTGACTGGCAGTTAATCCTGTAATCTAATTTTACTGTATTAGTGAGATTGGGACCGTGAAGTGTTAATAAATAACAATATTGCAGATTCAACACCATGTGAATGGGTAATCAATCTTAGATAGCTGAATTTTGTTGATTTTTGAAAATAAAGTCTATTTCTGATCTACAATCAATACCGCAATACAATTTTTCGGGATCTCGTCTTTTTCGATAAAATGTACCCTAAAACCGGCTAACTTCATGATTACACTATACAGTACGGCACACTATACAAATCGGGTGACATTGTCCCGTTTCAGAGAAACCCATTTTACAGATGATCAGACACCCCTCCTTCGGGAGATGTCTGGACATTGTTGTCCCTCAATATCGGTAATAATACAGTTTAATGAAGTTACGCAAAATACTACAAAAAACATCATTGGATTCGATTCCATGGGAAAAAATAATCCGATTTACCGAAGGAAAAAATTTTTTTTACCGTGGCACTCTAGAGTTTTTAGCAAAAAACGGCAATTTTGGTCATGTGACAGCCGTGATTAATTTAATTATTATTGGGACAAGCATGGCGCGATATGAAGCATCTGACAGGGTCCAGACGCCCCTCGCTTGTGAGACATATGGAGTGCTTGTTTTATTGAGCCAAATTTTTGAAATTTGGATAGTGTGCTGTACTGCTATAATTGGAACTAAATATGATTTACCAATATAACGACTTGATATAGAAACTGTCAGATACAAAATTAGACATTTAGTCCTTATATAAATGATTCAATATTTCATCTGGAGCTTGTTTTATGTTATAGATTCAACCTTAATTTCACGGGGATATTTTGATCTGTTGACATTCTTGAGCGCTATCTCAGCAATCCATACAAAAATGCTCATGAACCATAACCTAATAAGAAAATAGCCTACTTCTCATTTAACAGTAGTGTAAACCTAATTTTTTTATCACAAGATTGATAACTTATATTAAATTCTTCAATTCCAAATATCTCTAGTTCATCCGGCAGTTGTCATTCGGCAGTCAAAACCATATAGAAGGAGAAATGGTGTGTTTCTTTACTTCGAGGACAATGCAGGTGTCATAGTAAATAATAAAGGCGAAATGAAAGGTAAGAAATGCCTTGTTGCAGTAATTTAGAACTTCCATAATTGTAAATATGAGGATATTAAATGTCATAGATCAAAATTGAATCTGCTTCATATGAACATACGTCAAAATAGCTTTTTTGCAACCACAATGATGTTCCATCTTTCGGGTCTGATTCTCAATGCTGACATTTTTTTACTGAGTGGTGTTGCAATTGGGTCTTTAGCCTCAATTCTCTGTAACATAATGGAGTGAAACATATCGATTACTTATCGATCTTGATCGGTAAGTATGTTAGGTATTTGTCTGTTAGACATTTGAAAGCAAGGTTGAATCTGCTTCAAATTTTGCATGCGCATATATCATATCTCGGAACATAAGCCTATTGATTTTGGATAAATTATGTCATATAATTAGCGAGTAATTGATTAATTAGTAATGGGGCACACGGTGTCGCCATCGAAGCCGCGGTTTCTGTTTTGGGGGATCCCCTAACCTTAGATCTATAAGTCGTCGGCCTCCGACCGATATTCTCGTTTGTCAGTTTTTGATTTTCCCGTACTGTGTGCATCACAGGCCCCCTTATCAGTTTTCTAAAATCTTCTGATTCGGTTTATTAGAGAACTTATTTAAGACTTGTTATCCTTGCTCCAGATAAATTTTGCAATCTCGATAACAGTATGCAAGCCTGTATCTCCAATGTATCGTTTTATTTGCATATACCAATTTAGTCATCTTTGGGCTCAGCGTTTCTGTGTTTTTTAAGGCTAATGTCCAAGCCTGACCCATTTTTAACATATAGTAGAGTCTGTTTATGACAAGTATAATCTACTTTTCAGGTTCTGCAATAACGGGACCAGTTTCTAAAGAATGTGCAGATCTTTGGCCAAGAATTGCATCAAATTCTGGCTCAATTGCTTGATTCTTTACAATAAATTGCAGCGAGCAAGCCAATACTTTGTTTTCCATTTTCATCTATTGATAGAAACTTTACAAGCAGGTCAAGGGAAATTTATTAGAATTCAGACCAGCAGCTTGGGAAATCTTCAATAGTACAGAGTGAGTCGGCATGCTGAATCAAGTATGTCCCACCTATGCTGGAGGTTTCGTTCGGGACAGATGAGCTAAGAAGCTACACTTCATATAAATTCCTCAAATCTGGGTAGTAGTAGCTCTAGCAGCAGTTTTGGTTATTTGTTGGGATTCATAGACCTCTACGGCTTTTGATTTATATACTAAACTGGCGCCACGGTTCTCAGAACCAAATGTTGCCATTATTTGACAAATAACGCCTTAGGTCAGCAATCCACGGCCAGTTTGGAGTTTTCAATGTGTAGGCACATACACCCCTGGTCCTTTAATCGCATCTTTTTGACACTAATTCCCCTACTCGCAAGTATCAAAATGCCGATATATTTAAAGATTTTTATGTAATCAATAGAGCATCATGTCAGGCAAAGGTATACTACAAGGATCGAGTATTAAGGTGGGCACAATGCTAGGCGCAAAACTGATGTTTCACTACAAGTTAACTCCTCCTGCTTTCATTGCTGGACAAGAATATTTCAAAGGGTGTTTTCACTTTGTTGATCATGAATTGTTTGAACATACCGGTAATGAGATTTAAAATTCACCAATCAAAATAACAGTATAAACACAGCTTGAATGATAAACATGGGGGCCATGAGAACCCCCCCTAAAAAGGGTCCACAAGCCATGGAAGGTTGGGAACCACTGGTACATTAGATGACAACAAAATTCATCAATTTTGAACTATTCAACTGATGACATTATAAAAATAGCAGTTTCACAAATAGACACAAGTTTTGCAATTGCTCGCAAAAGGAAATCTTTCATGATGCATACCATTTTCGGCATGCTGTGTTAGCTCTCGTGTTGAAATCCTGTATTTATTCATCTGTGGTTGAAATTTCGTTACTGTCATCTTGCACAAAAAAGTTTTTATCAATGTTTCTACAAAAAGCCACAAGGTTGTCGAATTTCCTCACAGTTTCCGCAAGTCTGTTATCAGGTAGTCGAGTAGTTAAGATTGTAAATAAATGCCCGAAAACAAGTGCATCCAACTCTGTAGGTCTGAAACATAAATGTCACATAATTGACTTCAAAATTAGTTTTTGTCACTTGAAGTTATTAGGAATGCGCCGCTGACAGTTTTGATTTACAATCATATGAAGAAAGGGCCAGGTAGTTGCATTTGGTCTTTTAATAACCGTGTAAACCAGTGGTGTGCAACCTTTTTCGCAGGCGGGCCAAATACCAATAACTGGGTAAAACCGCGGGCCGCACCTTCATTTAACATACGCTTTCTATTAGTTGCAGGCACAAAATAGTGTCGCAGAAAACGCATAAATTTCTTAAAACTGTAATTCAAATATATTGTCACCCCCAATTTAAACGAATTCAGTGAGAAATTTGCTGCTGGATTCTTTTCCCGACTACTTTTATCCAAATTTGCTTAAATGCAAGTGCTAGCAATTCGATATGACGCCCATTGTTCAGAAAAAAATATGTAACCGAAAAGTGCCATATTTGAAGCCCTGACTTTTTCCAACTGTGGAAAGTTATCTTAGTTGAGATGTTTTCGGTATAGTACGCCAAGATTCATTTCCAAATACTTTGCTGTCAAATCTTATTCTAGATTAGATTTTAACAAAATCAACTGATAGGCTGTAGGTTTTGTATCTCTTAATATTAATTTTTTTCAAACTGCTCTCCAGTTGCCCAATCTTCAATTGCCCGTTCTCACAAATTCATTAGCGTCTGCTCCGCATTTTCCTTTCAATTGTTCGCTGCTCGGCAAGTGACAGCTTTGTGAATCGTGTTGTTCGCTTCGCCGTTAGGACGTTGTAACGTCATAGGCATTGAGAATAATTTGGACTCGAATATACGCTATGCAACGCAAAGGGAACCAGATCAAACTAAATTAAAAACTAGTTTAGCTGGCCGCACATCATTTAAAATTGGCACTTCTCCGCGGGCCGCACAATTTTCTCTCCGCGGGCCGCACTTTGCACACCCCTGATGTAAACATTTATTCGGGTCCTTAGGATAGGATTTACATATTTATCCCAGGGGAGATATTATTCATACGGTGAGCCAGGGCCTCTCGTCCAGTTCAGGCGGCGAGGAGTCCTTCAATCCTCTTGCACATATTCACGATGCGCCACATTGACAAGTCTCAATTCCTTACGATAGTTTGGCCACATAGGCCTTGTTGATTAGAACATTTATGCCCTATTTGATCACTAATCTTAAAATTAGTTTTCAATACTCTTACTGGTTGCCTAAAAAATATTCCTTCTCTCCAAGCTTTTCAGACAAAGCAGAACAACATCTTTGTACATCATCCTCTAAACTTGTAATTGTCTTCTTTCCTTTCTTCCAACCCACTGCATCAAGATAATGCATGACTTCTTTCCTTTTTATCCAACACAGAATAGTATTTAGCGGCCAGCTGTATGGTGAACCATATCGCTTACATGTGCTCTGAAACATAGTATAAAAGTCATATTTTTATATATTTGCTCACGCACATCGCTCTAAACAAGGCCCTATACAAGTGGCATCTGATAAAAATGTAACAGGACCTAATTCATTGAATTTTTCGAACCAGACGTTTGGTATAAAGTTAAAAATTGGTATATGAGTTAATCAGTAATCCATATATGCCAGACTGCAACTTTAAATTTAATTATGCTCAAATTTTAACCAATCCTTATGTTTTCATTGCAGGTTAAATATTTATGCCCTCTGTTCATAGAGCGTATCAACTCTTTAAATGTCAGTAAGGAGCCTATTTGAAGCCCTGCTCGGGGTAAATATATTTGTTTACTAACTCAAGGGGACATAAATGTATTCTACAAATACAGTGTAGTGTATGTGATATCGAAGAGTAAATAAAGTGTAAAACCTCTTTATAAGTTCTGTCATCCATCCATGTAACAAACAGTTCCGCAGGGACTAGCACATTATTTACCAGTTCGATGTATGCCTTCATGTCATGTTGTTGACTTTCTGAAAAATCACCTCCAAGTGCATAACCCTGTAATATGAACCATGTAAATTACTATAACAAGCAAGGCAATTGAAAATGAAACAAAAATTATTGAAGTATTATTGTCACCCTTTGCTTTAGTAATCCAATAATGGCAGTAGGTTCTGAAATCACAAGATTTCCACATCGCAGCAATGGGAGTTTTCTTGTAGGAGACATAAACTCTGCATTTGTCCTATAAATGACCTGTCATTGATAAATCAATCCATATAAACAATTTGAATATATTTTGCTCAAAATGCTTGCATGTAAGATTGCATTACTAAACATATGCCATCAATGAAATTAAAATTTCCAAAAAGCCATTATTACCTTGACATCAAGTCCACACATATGAATATAAACTTGAACTGCCAAACAAGGTGCATTTTCGTTCAGAAGTATTTGATGATCTAAAAATGAAGTACAGAAAAAACTGTATGCTATATTCAGAAATTGGGCTAATTAAAAGATGTCAATTCAATACATTTTTTGACTGTTTTCGGTATTTGTGAATGTTGCTTATATTATTTCAGTATTTGTTCATGCAATTATGTGAAGGAGAAGCAGATTTGAGTAAACAAAAAGTTAGTTCAAGTTGTAATTCAACATACCTTCAAATGGTTGATATAAGCAAGCATCATCAGGCCATCCTTCATTACCTATCATGATAAATAGTTAAATTATAATATTAGTAATATAATATTATAATATTAGTAAAATAATAGCATAGGTGTTGAAAAAATGTCACAGAATTTACACAAGCTTGTCTTGATTTCGATATCTGGTGTGAATCGCATAGCATCACATTTCTTCAAATGGAAACATTCTAAATTGAATTTAAAATTTACTACAGGAGCATCAAATACAATTGACAGGTGTCGTGAAGCGAACACCGTAACTGCTCAAATACCCCCGTTCCCCCAAACACAAATGTAGTGTGAAAATTAATGTTGTAAGTACTTAAATAACGCCAAACAAAACTGTGATGTGAAAATACAACCCAAATTTTAATTTTTTTTTTCTAAAAATATGAGTCCGTCTTGCGCGAACACAATACGCTAAACACATGGGACAAACGGGAGGCAGACAACTCGACTCACGAAAAGACAGACAGGTAAGTCGCATTTTCGACGGTGACCTTTAAGACAATAGGGATGTAATTTTGATCTTTTTACATTAAAATTTCACATCAATTTTTGTTGGGTGTTAGTTGAGCAGTTACTGCGTTCATTTTACATCACAATTTTGTCAGGCGTTATTTAAGCACTTTTGGCGTTTACTTCACTAGACCCCAATTGACCATAGAATTAACAGCTCAGTTTATACAGGGGAGTTTATAAGACGGGACAATATATATAAATAGGGACAACACAAAACCAAATACACATTTTATTGGGAAATAAAAAGTTTTAGCGTAAATGCAGCATCCTTGAGTGGTGATACCATATGATATGAATGGGCGAAGTATGTGGTTCTTATGCATATATGATATGCATCACTAAAAGGTGATAATGGTATCTTTGATAGAATATGGCTGTTTCTGCAAAAATGTGAACCATACAGATTTTGGTGAAACACTGTTACGTGTCAAATTCTTATGTATTCTTGTTTTAATTAAAAATTGAAGCCGTATTTGGTAAGAATTAAAGAAAAAATAACAAAACTTATCATGATTGCATTTTTGTCAGAAGAAGAGAAATGTATAAAAGTACAAGTTAATTATGGCTAATACGTTATAAAGATATGCATTGTTTCTATGTCATGGATTGCCCAAATTTAATCAAAATCACAATAGAATAATATAGTTTCCTGGGGTGAGGGAAGGAACAAACATATTTGATTTTGTGTGATGACCTGCGCGGCGGTGTGGCTCAACGGGCTAAGCGTTAGGAATACGCTTGCCACCGCTCCTCTAATTACTCTGCGTGGGTTCGAATCCCATGCAGGGATAGTTATGTGCGAGAGGATTGCTGGACTCCTCGCCTTCGTTGGGTGGTTCACATAACTGCTGGTCAGTTACGGCTTCCTCCACCACTAAATCCATGCTTCCGAAAACGAACAATATAACTAATCCCATACCCGACTTGGAATGGTAACTGGACGAGAGGTCGTGGTTCGCCATATGGATAAGCCGTCTTATCGGCTTTCCTCTCCCCCGGATAAAAACGTAAATCCTATCCTATCCTACAGTCCTAGGCCTATATGAGAAAGAATAGGCCCGGCATGCTACTTCCACAAAAAGGATTATCTCTATTAATGACTGAATTTAAATTTGATGTGTAAATGTAATTTAATATATTTAACCTAATTTCAGAATTTGTTGTTTTTGTCTTTGTCTAATTTAGAGCGATAATAGAATTAGAAAAGTGAGCTAATTATCAACTCCACAGCCACAGGACTAATAAATAACTCACATTTATTAACACCAGAAAATAAAGAAAGCAGTAATACACACCCGGTACTTGCGACAACACAGCTCCTTGTAAAAGAGACATGACAATCAATCATTCACGTGCGCTTGTTCTCAGCAAAAATAGATTCTAATCTAAAAAAAGAATGCAAATCAACATTTATGTAAAAATTACTCTCGCGAAGATTCATTCCGGTTCCTTCTTTGTCGAATTAAAATTCAGTTCCAATTTCTGAATGTGGATTTCAACTAAAATCTAAATAATAAAATTGGAAATGCTTATTCCTGTTCCTGTATACATTCAATCTCGAAAAAGTACAGTTAGTATTTCAATATTTCCATGCGAAAAAATGCGTTACTTTATATGGCATTTAGGAGAATACTGATTCTGAAAACTAACTAGTCGTAAGGCACAATTGCTTTTAAATGCGAAAAAATACGATAATACCAAATTCCGGCATTCATAAAAATTGTGCATTATGTTACGATACATCGGTTGCGGGAGGGGAGGAATGAAAAAAACCACTCGTCGGTTTTGCGGTATCATATTATCATCCGATAGATGGCGCTCGGGAAAAGAATGTGAGTAAAGTAAATAGTAAATACTAACTTATTACTGAAAATAGTGGCGTGATATCAACGGAGGGGTGGGGTTATAAACAAATCTCCAGCTGTTTTGTGAAACTATCTGAAATGCGAATGCAAGCAATATATAATTTTTACTCTTGTAATCAATAAATTGTAGATAAATCAAGCACATCTGATCTTTAGGCTTTGAAAGATAGTCTACTAGCTTATATCTGTATATTGAGTTTCCCTACTTCAGTACTTCGACATGCAGACATGATATGATATTACTCAACAAAAATGTTATTATAGGCCTACCGTATATTACTGTATTGGCATTACAGCATTATGTGCCATTTTCTTACATCAACATTCAGCATTATAAATACAGCAATATAAGAGCTCAAACTTATTAAACTTGGATATTGTAATCCATCTATGATGTTATTTGTATCATAAAATAGGCAGTATTTTCAGGTTGTAAATATGAGCAAAACCTTATTCTTACAATAAGCGTCGTATAAAAAACTTTGTCCTAATAGTTTATCTATAATATTACAGTATATCACTATCACACAAGTAATCAGATAGAAGAAAGTTTAGTGTTTAGAATATCAGCATATATTTGTACAATGAAAGGTCACACTCCACCAAAAGAAGATCAAAAACCATTGCTTGGAGCGGAGCAAACTGTTGACTTTCAGGATGAAACAATTCCCCCAAATTCTCCAATTACAAACTTGACAAACAATTTTCAAAATGACAGCTTTGAGTCTGAGAAAGCAGAATCAAATGAAAAACTTGATCAGTTTTTTGATAGTTATATTGACAGTACTTCTCAGGAAAATACCAGAGAGTCACATGTGTGTTCGGACTCTGTTTCAAAATGTGGAGATGAGCAGCATTCAACATCAGCACCAAAGAGTACACGGATCAATTCATATTTACCTGTTGCAAATAACCAGATTCCCGAATCATTGTTTCACCAACTTCAAAGGTAATTTATAAAGCAATTATGAAAATGGTACTATTTATACTTATTATTAAATGTAACCACAAATTTCTGAGAGATATAAAATTATTATTTAATACAAGTACTCGTTATTTCAAGTATTCATAGTGCCTTAATCCATCTCAATGGAAGACTTGATTCAAATTTGGGCCCGAGAAACTGTCAGAGAGGCTTAATTGAAACTTGGCGATAATATACGAAAGGCCTATTGAAAAATGTTGTTTGGAAAAAGTCTTTATCATGTCGAAATGTCATCACTACATGATCCTGAATTGTAGTTTAAATTTTCAATAAATTTTGGTTGAACTTAATATGATAGTTTCATGTGTTCGTATCATATTTATTCATTACGTAGATACACGGTTGTTTATGAAATATACAAAGACTCTGCATAGTCTCAACTCTGCATAGTAGCGAATCGACTTGAGTTGTGACTCGACTTGCATTTTGCAGTTGCGTATTAGTGTTTGGAAGAATGCTACAAAATGGTATTTGTAACCTGTCTGGCTTTGTCTCATTGTCTTTCATTGTTTTATTTAGTGACTCTTCATCATTGGCCACGCTTGTTACAGAGAAAAGGATATCAGATTCTAGAAGAACTTTCTGCTTATTTGTCTTATTTGATTTGATTTTAACATCATTATTATGGCTGCTTATGTGTGGGGTAAGTTTAAAAAATATTAAGAATTACGATATTAAAAATCTATAAACTCTGATAAAAATAGGAAATGTAATTTTGGAGATATGAAATAGCTTGAATATTAAAATGAAGTCGTCTGAAAATTGGTTATTATTATCGAGATTTTAAAATTTATTTCATGATAGCTGAATATCTATCACTCTTTATAACTGTTTTAGGTCTCCTATTCATTATTCGGCTTTGTTCTTTTCCTATCAACGGTCATCTTTAAGTGGTAGGAATGGTATAATTATGGATATAATCAGATCTGACAAATTTGTTCCCTCGTCATAAGACCGATAAAATCCCAGTTTAGTCTTATGACATCAGATTGATCAGTTACCATATATTGACTTTTTCTACTGTTTCGCATTAATCTGAGTTCATTCATATTGGCATACATCCAGAATTTGAAAGATATTTTGCAATGTCTTTATCAAAATATTTTAAAGCAATAGGCCTAGCCTAAAACCATATCTTGTATTAGGAATGAATCAATCATTGAATATTTTATTCGATGATGATCAATTAATATTGTGATATTTTACCGATGTCATATTATCTTTTATGCCCATTGTCATATTTAACATCGACAATCGCCAGTTGTACCTGATAAATGATAGTTTAAGATCACTGTTTTTTATAATTGATTTTCATATTCCTGGTATTTAATTAGAAAATTTGAGATGACATGCAATTGTCGGTCAAGTAGCTGAAAATATTTTTCTCATGTTATAAAACCAGACTGTTTATTACTTAATTTATTGGAAATGAGTTTTTACTGTTATGTTGACTTAAAGTGACAAAATGAAATTATGTAGTTTACTCTATCATAAATCATATAAAGAGTTAGTTAGGGCTATTCTATTGAGAAACAGCAAGCATATTTTTGTGCTCATCTATTATTAACAGAAAATCTGTTTACCACTCAAAATTGTGCTTGGTAATTAAATCAAAAAATGAATATTGTACATGGTTTCATTGATAGGTACAAATCCTTACCAGATAATAATTTCATCATTATTAATTGTCAATCTGATGTACAAAGCTTTGAAACTGGAATTGGTATGAAGAACATACTATTTTGTTTTTTTAAGCATATGTAATAGCAGAGCCTTTCATGCCATTTATCTAACACTACAAGTCTACAACTTTTGAGACTTCAATGCCAATGTCGTCCAGTAATGTACAAACAAATTGTATGAAGCAAATGATATATCTCAGTATCTTTTCAGTTGTGTATGCTTTATTATGAATAAGCCTGGCTGGTAGTAACCACTTGCTTTAATAAATCTCAAATATTAATTTTTGAATGTGAATGCTTAAGGATTTCTCACAGGATGTCTTGGATCATAATTATGATAATCCTTACTTATTTGCTATTGAGTGTTATGCTTTAATCCTGAGCGGCTGACATTGGTTCTGATTAAAGCAAATATCAGAATAGGGCAATCTACTTGGCCTATTTTTAACCGGGCCAATTACGATAAATCTGAAATGTCAACAGGGAAGTACATTCAAGACAATGTTATAATACTTCAATCCTTTCTATTTTGTTCTGATTGTTTTATATCTTTCAGACCAGTGCCAATGCTGAATATCCATTTTTCGTAATTGTTGGAAAACAGATCAGTGAATACACAGTTAATGATTCTTTATTCGATGTCGTGGTAAGTATTAATTAATTAATGTTAATTAAGAAAGTACTAAATACCTCAACTCAACTATTACCGATTCATTTTAAATTTTGATTCCACTCATATTTGAAACCTTTATTTGACTAGAAATTGTAACTTAATTTTGAAATTTTGTTAGGAAAAACAAATTTATCAATATTTGAATCTATACAAAATTTGGTATATCCCTATAATAATTCTTTGATTTTAGGAAATAGTATAGAATATTTTCATCTGAAAATTTATTTAAAGCATTCCACATTTGATAGTCGGACAAAAAAAGTTTCGTTTCATATCTGACACTGTAAATTAAATGATAACTATTTTATATACGTAAACATAAAAGCAGAGACAGGGTAAATATTAAATTCAGTATTCAATATTGAATTGAATTTTTATGAGTTTACATTGTTTGACCAAGAAGCAATTTATTTTATATTCAATATATCATTTCCAAAATTTTTTTTTTTTTTGGAATAGCAAATTACAGTATTTGATATTCGCCAGAAATATATATGTATAGCCTTATTTAAAATGGACGGAAGACCTTAATATTTGGCCCACGTGGGAGGGAAGCATTTCCCTGAGCAATATTATCCTACTACCAGTATCTCAATTCTATTACTGTTGCAAATTTTGTTCGTTGTTACTTTATGTTTTTAGTTATCCATTATTAAAATAAGATGACAGTCTAAAAACTATTTCTTTAATTCTTGAATATTTAAGGTCAAAGGAGAAATGCGATTGCTCAAACTCACAAACATTTCTGCTTTCATCAATTTGTATAATGTATTTGGCTATTAAACAAGTAAGACTCAACAATATAATACAATATTGTGGACAAAAAGTAACTTCATTTTTTCTCATTTTCAGTGTCTTGCTTTTCTACGGTTCACACTCTTGGAGTTGATGTATGCAGTGTTGAGAATTAAGCATTGGTGGCCTGTGGCTCTCAGCACATCTGTAACTGACATTTTATTAATATTAAAAATATTTCCTATATTTCAGGTAAGTGGCTTTGTTCTGCATACTAGTTATTAGTCGCACTATTATTTAACCAAACATTGGGTGCCTTGCGTCAATGAATGATGGTGAACTGTAAATATTGATGGAGATAAATATGTTTGAATCTGTAAATGCTTTTAGAACACTGTCAGATATTGTGGTGATGATAACACTCTCTCTTGCGGGCTACGACACATAGTTTTGTCTATAAGTGCTTGATTTTTAAAACTGTTGACATGCTCTTGATCAGACTTTGTGTTATCAATCTCTCAAGATGTTAGGTCAATGGTTCCCAATCTTTTGATATATGTTTTTGTTTTGGATTTCTTTATTCCTCCCTGGTAAATACTCTGGTTTTGTAATTTTTCAAACGTTCATGGAATCCTTAGCCCGTGTTATATGCAACCCTCTTCAAAGTACACCCCGTCATGTGCAACCTCTTTATAAAAGGATCTTTAGGTTGTGGTATACACACTCTCGATTTTGCATGGTTCAAATAGTTTATATTGTGTGTCAAATAACTATAGAATATTAGTGAAACTACACTAAATACAAAGTAATATTTTTGTATTTCCTCTCAGAAAACAACACTGTGTTAGATTGTTTGGGTCCGAGTGACACAAAATTAAAAAAAAATTAGTTGTTGATTATTAGTATCATTGGTGTATGTAATCCATATAAATACATACGCAAATCTAATGTTTTAAATAGAATCTTGGGATTTGTCTGTAACCATATATGTTTTTTTCAATATGTAAGCTATTGAGAAAAGTGTAGTTGAAAATCCTAACCTGTGTTCTATTTCGGTCATGTGTCATTTTGATATTGTTACCAGATTTATTTACATGTCGTGACTTCTGTTTGCTTTTGCCATCAGATGATATTAACATCATGTATTTATTATGTAATGCGTGAAGTTACTGATTGCCTATTAATAACAGAATAATCAATGATGTTATGAATGAAATATTCCATATTTGAATGCAGGAGAATATAATTTTGTAATCTTCTGAAAGTGTGGCGTGATTTTCCAACATTCCATTCACATTGAATCTCAAGTTAGCATACTACATGGAATGTTAGGTTAGGGTTTTTCCAGCCTGAGGGTGAAAAATTGTGCTATATAATTTTACTTAAGGTAAAAATTCATCGATTTGATTCATCGTTTTTCTTTCTATATAGTTATAAATCAAGTCACACAAATATGTCTCATTTATATGATTATTAACTTATATTCAACTTGGCACTTCATCCTACTCAGTTTGTTATATAAACAAAATAAAATGGGTTCCATCAATTTGTTGAATTGATAGATGGATCTATTGAAATGATATATATTGGAAACATGAACAATAATGATCTAATATGATAATCCTACTTCATTTTCTCATATATCGATTTTGATTCTGGTATTAAAAAGTGTTTTATAAGTGAAAATCAAAGGACAATATTTGTTTTATATTTTTGAACTGAATCACCCAATAAAGGCTAGGGATGATCGAAACCACATTTTTTACAAATCAATGCTGTTTTTACAAGCCACGAATATTGATATGATTATTTAGAAGCAGTTTCGTCTGTGAAAATTTTATTATCTTTGTAAACCCAACTTGATGGACCTTGGACTTCCTTTGTTAAAAATTAAAATCTTATCAAAAAATTCAAAGCGGGTCAAGCTGTTGAGTGCAGAATTTAAAAAATATTTGGTGTCGGAGGGAAAGGATTAATTGGTATGATACATGGAATCTTTCTCTTTAAAATATTTATTGGCTCGTGGATCCTGTTATGATCACAAACAAAAAAGGATAAAAACCTATATTTCTCAATATCATAGCACTTCAATTTCATTGAAAAATTTCTAATATAAGGTGTGTATTGTGTTAATCGGTACGTGTTTGTTTGTGATCATAATAAATATTTCGAACATAAAATAGCAACCAGCCTTTTATTGATTTTAGTCATCGCTGCTTTACAAGTTTTATTTTCTCCAACATGGATTGAATAAACGACGAACCTTTTCTTTTTTGACTGGATCTGGTGTTGAATGTGTTGCTTAGAAAGCTAGTTTTCATATATTTTTCCATTATTTCTCTTGGCACCCACAGTCCTAGTGCTTGCTTGATGCTAAATTTTAAAAATACACAACTATACATGTTTTTGGAATTAATATTGGGGAAAATCCATCATCAAAATTTTGTAAAAAAGGCAATGTTATTTTATATTTGGAACACAAACCTATGATTCTGTATTTTAACTACGCTGTTTCATCGTGCCTATTCAGCTTTAACTTTGCCCCAACTGTGTCCGAAATATTATCAATCAAATGTAAAAGTGACCCCACAAAAGTACAGAACCAGGCTCATTTGGAACATATTGTAGTCTGTAGATCTAGAGCAGTGGTTTCCAACCTTTTATGGCTTGTGGTCTTCTCCTGGAGACAACTTTATGCAAAGCGTCCTAGGTTACTGGAACTTTTGGGTACAATTATACGCAAACAAGTATTGAAAAAGTAATGAAGAAATTTAGGAGTACTGTTTTATGAGTTCAACCTATACTAACTTAAAACTATAATACATTTTCATAACTTCTTCGAAACAACAGCAAACTAAGTACTGATTACGCAAAACAATACAACGCTTGCTTAGCAGATACAAATCACAGTAGGGGGCGATTTTTTAGCATATAGCAATTAACAACATGTAACACCTTAAATCATCAAATGACGAATTGACTTTTAAAAGTGCCATATATGTATTGTCTGCAGTATTGAAATGATTTCAAAATCTGACATCATCATCAACTTACTAATAATTATATCATATTGTGACGTCTCTGCTGTAATTCTGACGTAAATTGCATGATTAACTCAATTTGAGAACTCAATTTACTTGTCTTGCTGTTCTATATACATGGACTCCCTATGACAAGTGAGACAGACTGATATGTCAGATCTTCTGGATGAAATCATGCATTTGCATTATATATATATACCCTGGCATATCAGATTTTCAATTGCACCTGTACATATTTAGCTTCTGTATATTTGCAAATACTCTTTAGCAGTGCGCCAATGGAGAGAAATATTGTTTCCAATTTGCTATTATCATCGAATATTTTAGTTGAAAAATGTTGTCATCTGTGAAGTTTTTGCTTAGGTTTTCTGTAATATGATTGGCGATTGCAGCCTAATTCAAGTTTTTTGTGCAATCAACTATTTTTAAAGGGTATTAGGATATTGTGTGTTGAACAGCAGGTCTGTTCCCCATGTTTGTTTTCTGATTGGGATCTGTATATGGCTGTTGCCACAAGGATGCTTGTATGAGATAGTATTAAAGTGATGAATGAAAATAACAAACTTTTTCCACAAAATATCAAGTGTATTTGTGAGCTTTCGTTAGATTATAGTATAACTTCTTCAGACAAAACAACATATGGCTTAGTTAAACAGTGAATAATCTAATGAAAGCTCACAAATATACTTTTTATTTTATGGGAAGATATTATATTAATCTTACTTGACAACTAATTTTAATTGATTGATTAATTGATAAATCAATTTGATTATTCGTTCCAATCAATATTTTTATTTTCTCAGGCTTCTGGTACAGCAACATATTTGAGTAGAGCTATTCCGATGACAATAGTAATTTTATTGACAAATTTTATACTTTCGTGGATCGAAGTCTGGTTAATTGATTTTAAAGTTCTTCCTGCGGAAGCAAAATTAGCACAGAGTAAGTAGTTCCAGCTATGTTTTCTGCCAAATCTTTACTTGGACGCTATCTCCTGCCATTCAGTGTGAATTCTGCTTTACTAAAGCACACTCGAGCAGCGAAATTTTATTTGTCTGAATGCTCTTCAATGTCTGGGAGAAATCAATTGTTATGGAGTGCTATTTGTAAATTTTCAGGTTTAAATGAAAGTAAGTATTTCTTAATTTTTCAATCTAATTACAAAATTACTCTCTTGTATACTCGTGGCCCCATGCTCTTCTATAAAATACCTAGTTATGCTTTCCGCCAGTTATCTTAAGCATGATTTTAGTTATCTTTATACAAACATAAGTGATAGAATAACGGTCATTACAGTCGAAGAATTAAACGATTCGGTTGTGAGCAGAGGGAATCACTTGAATTGTAGTTGATTCGGAGACCAAAATTATTTTGCAACTTTTTTGTCATATCATGAAAATTTTGTAAATTGAAACAGGTTTTAAGTATTATCAAGCCACAATAGTTATTTATTTTATTACTCCTTTTGCAGGAACTGTCAGGCAATTTATTCAAAATCAACAGTCGTTATCATATGGTGGCAATGACGCAGATCTTGGTGAACGTGCACCTTTATTAAATGGTCATCAAAGGGGTTTCACTCCACCGCAATCATATTATACCGGAGCAACATCTGACCATTTGTCATATCATTCAGTATTAGGTGAGTTTTTGTGAGGATGAGTGATTCGCAGCAATGACCGTGTCATATCTTCGAACTTTGTGGGTGATTTATTATTAAGAAATAGTGTCATTAGGTTATTATTTTTCTTCAGGTATTTTAAAGCTTACAGTAAATTCCAATTTGGTAATGATAAGAAATCTTATATTTATGAAGATTTCATGTCAATCCCAATGTCACATATCAGTAGTTTTCAAACTTTCATGAAAAGTTGAAGACTCCCAACACTTATGGCCCTTGATCTCCTATAAAAACCCTATTTGAGCTTTTAGCATGTTTCCATCAGTTATTCTATCTGCAAGGTTTAGTTACATAAAAGCCAAATAACGAAAGCAAAAGAATAAATACGTTATAGTTACAGTCAAAGAATTGAAATCAGTTTTCTTCAAATTAATGAAGTCACCGCGAATGGAACCAAGTGAAGGTCCTTGCTCATGGCTCCCAGAAAAACCGCCATTTGATCCCCCAAAATGCTGAGTTCTCAGTTTGAGAAAAGTCGTCATATATCATTAAAATTATTTTAGAAGTATGTGAACTAAACAGATAAAAAATAATATTGTTTTCAGAATCTGAGTTCGAAAGACCCACAAGTAGATTGGCTCATCTACACAAGGCAAGGCCGATATCACGCGAAGAACAAATTCATATTGAAAAGGGAAAAGGTGCATTGAACCAGTTATGGTGCATGTTTAGGAATGAAGAAATTTGGAAACTCGATAAAGAGCTGGTCAGTTGTTTTATATTGTATTTACTTTCGGATCACTTTACTGAAATTTGTAAATCATCACGTTATTTGGAAATAAAATAGTTGTTTACCAGTCAACTGTAATTATATTCCATGGACTTGTTATATCGTAGATTTGCTTAGAAACATAGCACCTTTCTATTCTTTAGTTCTATATAAATAAATGCTGAAATCAAATGTTGAATGTCTGTTCAATGGATTATTATATTTATTTAATATCGATACAGGAAAATGGGGATAAACTTTACACTGCTGATATCCCAAGTTACGGAAAAACATTTAGAATTGATACAACTGTCTATGGAGTTTCAGCTCAACAAATATTTCAGGTATTACGAGATTTTTTCTTATGAAAATAAGTCCATAAATCTCTACAAGGATCCACAAACATGAACAGATATACTGTTTTCGGTAAGACTTGAAATATTTCTGGTTCCGATTCATTTTCCCAATTTATTATGCCTTGGGTTTAGTAATGGGCATGAGTTTGAATCCATGATCTGTGATTAACCGTTTTGTTGAAATTACACCTGTATTTATATTACATTAGTAATCATATTTTGATTTACAGGAAATCATTCTGAAAGCAGAAACTATGCCCACTTGGAATAAAGCTGTTGATGATGTCAAGGTAGATAAGATTTGTTTTTAATATTGTAGTGTAGCAGTGCACCAACATAGCATCCAAATTTTCCATTGAATTAGATGATTGATCCGTTACTTTCCAGTCTGATATTTTATGCTGAGGATTGAACATATTTTGTTCAATTATATTCTGACTGTACTCAAAAAGCCATATAGATTTCGATTACCTCTGCTTGATTAAAATCACCCAGTTGTGCAATACAAATTGATAAAAGATTGAATTATTATTCTATTCGTCGCCAAATTACCCCGGCTTCTCTTTATGCCTGTTTTCCTACATTTCGGGCTGAATATGATTTTCTATTTCATTTAGATTCTTAGACGAATTGGTGAACAAACAGCCATATCTCTTGAAGTATCCAAACCCGCTGGAAAAGGATTAATTCAGAGTAGAGATTTCATAACGGTTAGACGAGTTGACAAAATTGAAAATATGTACATCAGTGCTGGTGTTTCAACTGAATATGAAATCCCAGAGACTGGTAGAATAAGGTTAGTAACTTGATATGCTGCATATATTATGATAGTGATTGAACAATGGACTTAACATTTATTGATATTTTCTCTGTTGAATTACTGAATCATACCTAATATTTTAGCCCATATTCCTGAATCTTGACATTGCAATTTAGTTTATTTTCTTATTACTGTAAGTTTATTATTTAATTTTCAACTAAAATAAAAAAAAATTACTATTTCGAATACTTCTGAAGTAATATTTTTATATATATGTTTATCAGAAAATTAACAGAAATAATTGATTTGGGCGATTTTCTATTTTTGCATTACTAGTTCCTGACATTCCTGCTTTTGACAGACATAATAGGTAAAAATACAGTGTATATTCCTATCCATATTAAGATCTTGGGAATTTTGGTACACCTAATTCTGGTTTGAAAAACAATGTCTTCTTTGTTATATTGAATGACAATCAGATTACTTATGTCCGTTTATGATTTCTCTTCATGACTTGAATTATTTCTATAATCTTTTGTCTAATCTTAATCACATACCTTTCCCCCGTGGTAGTAAATGAGGTAATGTTGAACAACAATAAGGTATTGGTTGGTAAACTACAATATAACATATCATGTGGTCGTTGAATTTTACCTGCCAGAGGGCATATATGGCATCTAGTACGACAGTTTATCCGGGATTGGTACTATAATGATATCTTAGACTAGAGAGAATGAGTATTGAAGCCTGTTCACGTTTTATATGTTCATGTTTTATGTTGTAGCCTTTAAAAAAATATTATACAGAGTGACACAAAAAAACAGAACCTCTGGTCATTTGGAACATATTCTAAAGAGAACATAACTTTTGTGAAAGCGTCCTAGATTTCTGAAACTTTTGGGTATAATCAATAATCATGCACAAACAGAAGTTCGAGTGGTAGATAAATTTTCTTCATTTTCATGAAAGTAATCATGAAATTGATGAGTTCTGTTTTTTGAGTCACCGTGTATTATGTAAAATCAAAATGAATTTGCAATGCAGAATTCCAGAATACCAAAATCTTATAAACATCTCTATTCACGAGATACTCCCAAATTGGTATTGCTATATCATTTCAATATATTTCCTGTTTTTACTTTTTTCAGGGGCGTTAATGGACCAACAGGATTTATAGTCGAACCACTCAACGTTGGGTATAATTCTTGCAAGTTTACATGGATATTGAATACAAATTTAAAAGTAAGTTTCAAAACTCCTCAGACTCAGTAAAATATAACCTTATCGAAGTGTGCATATGGACATGGTTAAGCGAATTTGTCTATATATAACATACCGGGTAAACATTTTAACCTATATAACAATTTTTTTTCCCAGTATCAGTAATGCATAATACAGGGGTCTAATTTACACAGTAAGCTATGATTTTTAAACCCTGTGCTGTACATCATATGAGATGGCCTCATTGGACACAAAATTACCATTATGTGTGATAGGGTTGGTGGACCAGTTGAGACGGTTGACTATTCCCATTTCAGACCTGAAATGTAACCAGATGTGAATCCATGACTCACCATATTAATTAGCTAACTTTCCTCTCCATATGAAAATACTATCTCAATCTATTGACAATGATTTAAAATTGTTTGTGATATTTACTTGCTTTTGCTGATGCATAATTTTATTCATTTTTACAGGGTTCATTACCTCAGTATCTTGTGAATAGTAATTTAGCAGCAACTATGATTACGTTTGTGTCTTCAATGAAGGAATTTCTTGGAGCTGAGTAATTCGTACTTGCAACTGTACTAAAAGAAAAGTCGTGTTTGTGCAAGTCCTTTAATAGGTGATCATGTGGACAAAACTACTTCAATTTGGCAGATTCTGTGTTATGGATTCTTGAATTATGTTTCTAACTATTATATAGTTATCTTATCTATGATATTATCTGTATGTACATTGGACTCCTGACTCTGTGGAAGTTATGAACGAATATTCATGTCAGTGCCTCATGACCAAAATGGTGCTGATCTCTCTTTTTTTTGTTTCGTATTGTGCAATGTCAAAAAAATATTGCTTCCTATGTTCAAACTATTGCACTACTGGTACTGTATTTTCTAAGTTTACCAGACTCGCTGAGTAATTTGAAATACATTAAAAATAATTTATAGTAGTTGGAATATTCAGAATTATAATATGGGCATCAGAAAGAAGTAAATTATCCACAAAGAACATACCGTTGATTAAATTTTAACTGTTTAGTATAAAATTGTTCTGGAAATATTACAATATACCAAATTTTTGGATATTTTGCCACTATATTTTGTTTAGCGACTAATTTGACTTAATTCAAATGTCAGTTAAAAAAGTTAGTTTTCTGTTATCAAATAATTAACAAGATAGTAATATTTTCCATCAAATCAAGTGCCATCTACCATTCCTATTCAGAATAATTAAATTTGTTTTAGGTAATACGACAATCGGTCTTATTTTACCTATGAAATTCATTTTAAATGCGAGTGCTTTTATATTTACTTTCTTTTACTTTTGTTGCATACACGTATGTCCTATCACTTATGTATACATGTTTTCTTTATACTATACTGCTTATACAAGTTTGATTTGGGAATGGGACTTTACTAAATTAATATCGTATAGTGATGGAGTGTATTTCTTCAGGTTTAAATCTAAAAAAGTATATCAATGTCTGTTTTTGTTAAATTATTTGCAACAAATCCCAAAAATACACTCGGATTGGTAACATAGAATCTTTGGGGCTCCCGAAGTATGCGAACCAAGATGGCGGACATCGGAATGTAACATGTGTACTAGGTTAGGGTTATGCCATAATTTTAGATATGAATACTACGGGAGGCTCTTGGCTAGTCTTCGAACTGATAATAGGACTAACATATAGAAAATTGGAAAAAAATTATTGCCTAACCCTAACCTGTTACCCATGTTACGTTCCGATGTCCGCCATCTTGGTTCGCATACTTCGGGAGCACCGAATCTTTAGTAAATAAAACAAAATCGAAAGCTGATCTAAGCATGTGCTTGGGATCAAACACTACACTAAAATAGCAAAAAATTACATTTTAATACTGTATAAAAGCTGATGACATGACGTTGGTGTTGTATTTTTTTTTATATAATTCTGTTGAATTGTGTTATGTATGAGCAAACAAAGTTGTCACAGGAGTATTAATATATTTTCTTATGACTGCATCTTTCTATACCCTACTGTTGCTGTACAGCTAAGTGAAATACTGTTATTAAATTTTTTGTAGTCAAACTTGTACCAAATGTTGAGTTAATTCTTTTGTCTGTCTAATTAATAAATGCTACATGTGTATAACTCGACAACAGGCGTTCCAACCGTAATTCTCTCATTTACCCCTTGCAAAGGAAAATTTACCCCCCTCAACTGTGTATGTACGGTCTATTCCAGTATGCTCCCAAGTTTCAAGTGAACTATGGAAAGGGGGACACTAGGCTAGAGTGCTAGACAGTCTCTCTGTGTTTGTCCACATACTTTCATACTTGCTAAATTTTCGCCTGATGCAAGTCAATTTTATCCTGGTTGAGAACTCCTGCTCTAAGGTTTGAGTTTTACTCTGTTGTGCTTCGTTGAGAAACCATTTATTTGGTGGAGTTGCCTTTCTGGTTGTTATTATTGTTAACTCAGAATGGTGTGTTCCTGGATTGTTGTTGTCCTTCAAGTTCCACTACTGTTATATAGGTAGTTTGTGATTATGTCTAATCAGTGATTATTTGTTTTTATTACTATATCTTTAATAAAGTGAAAATGAAAAACATTAATTACATGGCGGCTTCACATATAATGAGAAGTAAAAATCATGCCAGTAGCAGCAGAAAATATGTGATGGCTGTGTATGGGATGAGTGTGTAGCAGAAGCTTAAAAAACAGAGTGGTGGAAACGAGCTTTGAGCAGATTATATGGAAAAATGGAAATACATTTTAGCTGATGGGGCTATTCGAAGCATTTCATCATGAAATATGGCAATGTTGATAGGTACAGTATAATGGGGTACCCATTTATGGCCGTCCATTTTAGAGCGGTGAGTGACAACTTGGCAAGGGTGAATGATAAGAGTGGACAAGTGAAAATTTTGGGAATATGAGGGACTCCAAATGTTATCCCGTTTTCCTTTGATTTCGTTGTCAATTTAGAGATCTGCTTTTGTCCTAATCTTCACACTCATCTTCTGTTGACCCTTTCAGGTAGAATTTTGAATTTTCGTTCAATTGTAAAACTGCTGATATAAATGTTAACCTCATTGGTGGTGCTCCAATCTAAACATGGGTTTCGAATGACAGATGGAGTTCGTTATTTTCTCAACCGGAAAACCAACGAAACAGATATGAGCAACAAGTTTTCAGTACAGACCGGGTGGTAATGATATGATCGTGCTAACATCAGAGTTAGTTAACACCTAGTCCTAGTTGGTAACCACTCAAGATTTGTTCTACAAGTGATGTTTCGCTCCGAACAAGGCAATAAACGTTACTGAATAGAGCGAGCCAAATAATTGTTCATTTAAGTTGAACGACTGGTATTCTATAGGGTTTTAGCCTAAGGCATTAATATTAGAAAGCACACTTATATAAAATGAGTTCAGTACCCGGATTGAAGCTGTCGGATACTGCAAAACGTATTCCCTCAAATTAATTCAAGTGCTGGAGGGCGCTGCTCGTGCATATTTTACCACTTTGATATTTTATTGCTGTCGGTTTGTTTACTTCTGTTCGCAGTTCTCCGTTGTACGTTCATCGGTGTTGTGCTTTAGTTAGTCACAGTATCGGTGTCTTGGAGACGACCAAATCGAAGTATTATGGCGACCACTGAAGCGCAAGTGATTAATGGTAATGCAATGCCAATAACTGTAGAAGAAAAATTTCAAGCAGCTCTCACTGTGATACAAAGTCTTCCAAAGAATGGTAAGTTCTGGAGCTATTATGGCTGTACGGTATGGAGTCAAAATAAACCTTAACGGTATAAGTATAAGTTTATTTCGACTCCATAATCAGCAATAGACGATAAAAAAAAATAGATAAAAACAAAAGTAAAAGTAACTGATTATAGAATCGGGAAAGCGAACAAAACCTAGAGTAAGGTTTGAAACGTACATATTTTAGATGGAAAGGTATTGATAAAAGAAGTAGTACGGTACCGTACGGTACTTCTGTACTTATAATGCTGTAATGCCAGAATATGAGATATATTTTCAATAAATAAGACTTTATGATGGTAATTTTCATTCATTTATAGAACTTTAAAATGAGCTTATGGGGATGGTCCATATTCAGGTCTGTCCATATGGACCATGTTCAGGTACGGTATTGGACTAGTGCCTAGTGGTACAGTAATTTAACTTGGTAATGCAGTAGTGTGATCGAAAAGCGGTTCCTGGGTGAAATGGGTACCTCTGGTAGGGGACATTCGCAGCTCTGAACCTTGGCAACTAGTCCTAACCAACTACTGAAACAACAATGTTTGAGTCTCTTTACTCGCAATTACAGTTCTGCAGTTAAAGAATTTACTAAATTCAGAAAATGTTTATTTTGACCCTACTGACCCAGAAATCATTGTGTCTGTGTGTACTGCAGTACTGCATTCAATACATATTCTTTCATGCTTCTATCAACTGAATCTTATAAATTCTGGGATGATTGGACATTTAAATAAGCGATCAGATACAGGTGGTGTGATAATATCACCATCATTCTGAGAAGACTCGTATGTTATTATTTGAATGAATTTCAAGTATCATATGAATGGGCTTAGACGAGGCATTCGATTTTTTTTTCCGAGTTGATTTTATTTGAATTAATGTTGGGAAGACTCGAGTCTCGGGTTTTTTTTAAAGACTCGAGTCTGTAGAGGCTTTACATATTTATCATGGGGAGAGGAAAGCCGATAAGATGGCTTAATCATACGGTTACTCGGTCTCATCATCAACTAGCCACCACTGATACTTAACTCAATGATTGACTCCACTTGAGACTCCGAGGACCTGTGACTTAGGTCATAACTTGAGGTTTAGGAGCTTAAACCCAACACTTATTTGAATTACCAAATATCTACTAAATCTCACTGCTGGATAGGATAGGATAGGATTTAAATATTTATCCCGAGGGAGAGGAAAGCCGATAAGACGGCTTATCCATATAGCGAACCACGGCCTCTCGTCCGGTTACCATTCCAAGTCGGGTATGGGATTAGTTTTACTGTATTGTTTGTTATCGGAAGCATGGACTTGGTGGTGGAGGAAGCCGTAACCGACCAGCGGTTACGTGAACCACCCAACGACGGCGAGGAGTCCAGCAATCCTCTCGCACATAACCATCCCTGCATGGGATTCGAACCTGCGAACCCACGCAGAGTAATTAGAGGTGCGGTGGCGAGCGTATTCCTAACGCTTAGCCCGTTGAGCCACACCGCCGCGCCATAATAATTATTCATTCAGGATAATTATTCATTCAGGATCATACAAACCATCACCATCTATGATGCTGAAGTTTTATTCTTACTACAAGCAAGCAACAGACGGTCCCTGCACAAAGCCTAAACCTTGGGCCTGGGATGTGATTAATAAAGCAAAATGGGATGCATGGACAAAACTGGGTGATATGTCTAAGGCTGAAGCAATGGAACATTACGTAGAAAACCTGAAATTGGTAAAATTACGATTTATTGTATTTATTATTTATTAATATTATTTTACAATCTTTAAGCAGATTGTATCAATATTTTTATTTGGATACTCTGTTCTAATGTGGTAAAGTTATTCAGAGTCTTTTATGGGATATGCTATTATCTCCATATCGCAGCAGTAGAACCAAATTACCTTATGTCTCACTTGGAAGTTTTTTGTAAAGAAGATTTTTATAATATTTTGGTTCTAACAGCCATACCTAAAAATAGATGTTGTTAGGTACTATTTAAAATCGAAGCTAAAACAGATAGCTTTGAAACACAACCAAAAGATGTTCATTTCCGAATGCTGTGACCTAAGCTACTTTGACATGGATGAAGCATAAAAACCATAAATCTCTAAGCTTACATGAATTTTCATGTATTTTTCACGATTTTAACCTTTATTAGGTTATGGCTGAAACTCCTCCTCCTACAGATAGACAAGTAAGATGTAATCTGGAATGGAATCTAATTTTTTGCCTTAATTGTTAATCATTTGCAAATCTTGCAATTTCTCCTATCACAGTAATATGATTGACAAGACTCATAATTTTCATCTCTCTAACATTTGCAATTTTAATCTCGCAACGAGTAATAATTACATTGATGAAAATGTGAATGATAACATTCAATAACAATGAATATTTTACACCTTCATATTGGCTTCATTGAGGAGCATTGTTTTTGCTTTTCTGCTGGGTCAATATAACAATAGTTTCATTACCGGTAACTGATTAACAATTATGCTGGTATACTTTGTCAAAATTACATTAATGATTAGAATGACAGAAAATGTCGAGTCAAATTGCCAACTCTATAATAAATTGTGAATGAATTATTGCTTGAATGTTTAATTTGCAGCAAATGCAAATGAAGAATTTACTCTTTCAATTACACATTTTTCATCACGATATTAACACAGTCAAAATTAAAGGTAACGACACAACACTGATTTTTTTCTTCATGATAGCAATTTATAAATATCCTCAGTTGATTGAAAAATGATGTTTTTCTCATTTGTATGGCTCAATATAGTTTTTTGTATCATTTTTTTTAGATTGTAGAAGCAATGCCAGCTACGGATAATGTACAAGAATTCATCAAAATTCTTGGAAATTTTTATCAAGTTGTTGATTTGGAGCCACCGAAGCAATATCAGAAGTTTTCTAAAAGTATTAAAATTATAAATTATCACTGAAACCCTTTTCTTATCAGTTATAGAAATTTAGCTTAATTTTTGTTTTATCTTTTTTTATCGTTGACTGCAATGTTAAGTTGTCATTAACAAGTAAATTTAATTAAAAATTACTGGACTTAATTAATTATGTCGGCATTACAGGTTAAAATCCTCGGGTTTGAATCCCATGTGTACCACCTCACTCAAGGTTTAATAAGTCGGGTAGGCAATAGATCGAACCGGAAATATTTTGTCCCCTCAAATTATAGTAGCCCATTACCTAGCTGTGGATCCTTGTACAGAGCCTTGTTCACATAGAACACTTTATAAAATAACCTATTTGATTTATTTTAACTATTTTATTCTATTAAATTCAGTAACTTCAACTCCAAAAGATGGTCATGATCCTACTCCACCACTACTAAATGGTAATGACATTGCACATCATCAAAATGGAGGTAACGGGCATATTCAACATTCTGAAGAAGATTCAGAAGAGTCTGACAAAGACGAAGATATGGTTAGAGTACCAAAAATAAATGGAAATGATTCTTCAGAAGATGGAGAAGAGAACGGAGGTAGGCATTTTGACTGTACGCAACATTCCTTTACTTAGAAGTGCAGTGTAATGAATATTAAAATTTATATACAAATACCTATTTTCAACGATTTGTCATATTGGCCCAGTGTTATTAGGAGCCTTGTTTCATTGTGTGATTATATTTTATTCAATATTCAAATATTTGTGGCACGTTATAAAGTCATTGCTATGTAAAATATATGGCTGTCATAAATTCTTAACAATGGCAATAAACATGTTTGGTGAGGTCTCACTTTCACATTATATTTATGCAATTCAACTTGAATATGAAATTGCTAAAATTAAATTAATTCTCAATTTTAGTCTACATATTACCATGTCAACAAATACATTAATTAATTGCAGGTTCTGAAATGATACTTTTGAATAAAGTGTGTATTAACTTTGAAAGCTTTAATAAAAGGTTTTGAATTTCATTTGAAATACAGTTATATTTGTTAAATATCAGACTGAAATGATATGATTTTATCATTTTTATAATTAATTCCGATCTTAACCAAAATGAAAAGGTAATTTTGATATATTTTTTGAAATATGCCAAATTTTATTTAGAATTATCATCATGTTAAAATTCTTAGGGTTTTTACCGATAAAACATGAATTTTGATCGGTTGATATTTTAATGGTGATTTAGGAATGCAACATATAAAAACAATGAAAATATAACAGAGACCTGAGTGTGTTTTTATGTCACCATCACCATGCTTTTTGCTAACTTAAATTAAATGGTTCCAGCCTGGGGCAGTGGATAATGCAGAATATAACACTTCATTTCAATTTAGAATCCTATCCTGATATTTTTGTTCTTACTTTATAATTGTTATTGATGCTTTCAGATTAATGCAGGCAGTTCCACTTTGCTAGATGAATACTGAGTTCCAATTTATGTTTATATAATTTATGATGCATAATTCAACTTGCATATCAAATTTTATTATGGACTTTAATTATTGCTATTCTCTGGCTTACACCATATAATTCAGTACTCAATATATTTAAAAAAAAATACCATATCCTATTTGATTATCTATTCTTATGAAATATCTTGAAAGTTGTTCTGAATGTTCATTCTCGTTTCATGATTTTATATTGTGCAATACAATAAACTACTGGTAAACACGATCTTTAAATTCACAGAGAGAATTTTACCAAGTGATAGTGAAGATGAATTCTGTGATACAGCTGAAGAAATTGAATCAGGACACCGGGTAAATTCTGTTAATAAAACATAAATATAAAGTTGATCACTTTTTCCATTCATTTCACAATCTTGAGATTTACGGTATATGGTAAATATTCTGAAACAGTAGCTTTGCTTACACCGCGTCAATCAAAAATTCAATCCATGACCAATACAAGCATTTAATTAAAATTAATTTAATTGTGTTCAAGGTAACAAATTTTGTCAGTTATATATTGTAACTGTAAATGGACTTAGTTAGCATATGCCACAGACAATTGGATGTTATTGATACATCTGCTAAGTAATATCTAGAAATATAAAATCAATCGAGTGCTGAAAAAGCAGAGATTATAGGTGATTATTCTACCCCAATGCTTTCTAGTCATTAGTTAATCTTCTACCATATTTCTTGTACATACATCAGTATTTTTATGGGTTTGCAAAGTTAGATGAAGAATATATAAAAACATTCTATTGTTTGTTCATGGTAAATATTATCTCAGTGTTACACAGTACGCTTATTAAATATTAATGCAGACAGGCACTGATTAGATGCAGTAGCAACCCTTTGCACAAAATATCTAGTCATTTCATAATTTTCATTATATTGTTGAATATTATAAACTCTGGACGTTTATCACCATTTTTCATGTACCGAAGTCTAAAGACATTTGAAATCATTTAATGAACGAATTTTCACATAAAACCTAACCTTGCCCTCAGTTGGCAATACATATCTTTGTCGCTGCCCTAAAAATGAAGCCCTCTGTTCATTTGGCAGGCCGATGGCCTACACAGAGGAAGCCATACAATTGGTGATTAAAATTATGTATCCACACCTCGTCTTAACTTAAACCTATTCATTCTACTGTCAATTTGTATATATTTTTGATGAGTTTAATGAAACTGATAATAATAAATGTCTTTCCAAATTGAAGTCGGTTAGTTCATCAATACAATTAATCAATACATGAATGATGCCTTCCTATTTCAAAATATCAACTTCCTGAAAAGAGTTCCAGCATAACTACCGTAGATGTTATCCAATACAATAAGGTGGATATGCTATAGCCTATATTGTTACTTGCAAATTGACTTTTCCATCTTTCAGGAGAATCAGTCGTTTTTTAACCATTATTCAATTATTTCATTTTTGTTTTCAGAATCCATCCACTTCACAATCTATGAGTTACACTCTAGTAAATCCCGAAGATCCAATTGAGTCAGATTCTGTCAGTACAATGGATAGTTCATTGGAGAAAGAACGTAAGTATTGATATTAATGTTAAACTTGTACTTTTTTATGTGTTTTGAAACCGACACAATAATTATTGGTATACGGTATTTAAATTTTCATGCTGTGCTTGGCTAATGCCGAATCTAATTGCAAAGGGTGTTTGTTGCGTGTTGGCTAGATGGTTTCAATTCAATTAACTTGGTAGGCGTAATATTTCAGTTTCAAGGAGATGTGTAACCTGCAAGCTAAGTCACTGGGACATGATTTTTTAAGCCAACTTTTACAGAGAGAACTAGTTCATCCCACATTTAAGCATCTAGGTATTCTTTGTGAACTCACATCTTTGAGTAGTAAAAGACTTTGTGGGAATATTTATTTATTTTGTAACACTTTATATTTTCAGATTCACATCAATATCATCATACTGATATGTGAGTATAAGTTTTTGTTTAAAATAAGGAGATTTTTATGTAAATTATTGGACGTCTTGTGTTGAATTTTATTCAAAATTGTGTAAAATTTGGACACATAATTGTGCCTCTCTTAAATTTGCATTGCTAATTTACATTTTCCAAGATTTATACACCAAACCTAACTATAACTGGAGTAACATGTAAGCCAATGACAATTATCTGAGCATATTAACACAAATCATAGCAGTAGTGATTTTCATGCTAGACTAGACATTACGTTTTCATGTTCTCACCATGTAGAGTTCAATTATAGCAGAGATCTGCAGCAATAATATATGTATGTATATATGGTTGGTGTGTTGCTAAGATGTCTCATTTTTAATGAGTTTGTGCTGTTCTTTTGATTCATTTGTTCAGACTAACTTATACACTTTGACACTAGCATGTTCCTATTCAGTCTCATCTCTTTTCACCAAGTTTTGTTATTTCAATGCCTATGAATTTTGTACATAACAGGTCTACCAATACAGTGAGGCTTCGAACAAGAGGAGGCGAACATGGGACTCGGGGTTCAGACAAGACATCTTTTACTTCACCACAAAGTGGTGAGCTCTTATTTCTTTTGTTAGTGTCAAATATTGATTTTTTTTTTGTATTATATTGTGTATTTTACTTGTGTAAAGCTTGCCTCAACACTGTTATTTGTGGAAATAGTCAGATAGGAATAAGATTTCTTTGTCTTGCATGTTTCAACTGTTCTCAGACAAAACTATTTTAGAAAATTTTCAGCATAATACTCCATGCATTTTTCATAAAGTGTTTTGGTTCAGCATCGCCTACCCAATTTGTTACACCCTGGGTAAACTGCAGAGATTTGGAGCACAGATCTTCAATCCAGCGCTTTATCTTCTCAGCCCTTGCACCCGCTTAGCGTAATATAGTTGAACATATATTGTCTAATGCTGTTTACTTTTTTTAGGTCTTGGTTCGGGTGGAAGTGGAGAAAGAGGCAGCAGGACTGGCAATAATAGAATGGGACAAAATCCTGGTTCTTCTGGTGGTTCAGGCAATGGCCCACCTTACTCATATTCAGAGGTGAGTTTCATTTGCATATAACTGATTTATTTTGAATATGTCCTCTGGTAAATTTGGAATTTCATACCTGTTATATGTTGCACATTTGGCCAAAATATGTATCTTCATATTACTGTATAATGCTTTTCGTATATTGTAGTCAAATTCGATCATACATTTTTTTGTTATATTTTAGGTTCAAAATCAAATTGCCACCACTTTGCTTCAGTTACAGCAAGACATGAACAGTGTATTGAATAGATTATCAATTCTTGAAGCTCTCACTGTTGGACAACAGGTACTGTATAAATCAAGTGACATATAGTCAGCTTTTAGTCTATAAGTTTACACAGATGATTTGTTGATTATAATCGATGGTCTACAACACATCGGACTAAAAATTGTCAGTTGGTTCAATAAATGCAAAAGGTATTTTTGGCAGGTTGTGTGAAGATTCAAGATTCATTTCACTCAATCTCATTGTGTCTTTTGTGAGGAAATGCACCTCGAATAATTTTGCCATGAATCTAACTCTCAATGGATACTATACCTATTTTACCTACCCTATCGCAGAAAGTACCACCAAACCCAATTTTTTTTGCATAAGTACTGATTCCTTTCCTATGTATATGCAAAGAAACATACAATGAGTGTATTCTGCATATCACCAAGATGGAGATGCTGTCCAACAAAAACATGTAATGTGGACCAAGAAATTGCAGTTGCTTGTCTTTAAGCAAAGATTCACATTCACTTAAATATAAAAACTTTGAATAAAATGTTTTCTTTCACAGGCTCGTCGAGGTCGCACTGCATCTGGTGGTTCAAGTTCATCGACAAGTAGTCACAGACATAGATCAAAAGAAATCTCATCTCCATCCTGGTGGCCTTTCAAAAACATTGGACCAAGGACTTTATGTTTTATCGTTTTGTGGCCTTTTGTTGTAAGATGGATTTTTATACTTAATTCGCAAGAAGTCGATTACAAGAATGAGAAAATAGTGTTTGATTGAAAGTAATATTTTTCTTTATATTAATTTATATATGCACATGTGTCAATTTTTCCAATTGATTGGCCATAAATTCTAAATAAATGTAACGTAGTCTGATTCTCTGAGCTAAGCTTTTGAACAAACAAGTGATTAGTAATTCAGGATTGTATAACTAACATGTTTAACTTGGGGATAAACGTTTATTTTTGTGTATAATCTTTTTTTTTTTGTTGAAAAAAAATACAATTTTGAATCCGACAAAGTTTTTCAGGATGAATGCTATTTTTTACACAGGTTTAAACTGTTTCATTGTCATTTACTACAACCCAATTTTCCCTAAACCCTTCAAGAGTTTTTGCCATTCATTTTAATTTCCTGAGGTATTGAAGCTTCTGTATTTAATATATCGAAACCATTATTTAAGCTTGGCTACCTCCGGCCTCAATGAATCACAGAAAAAAAAATAGCTATGGTTCCCAAATAGATATACTCCAACATGTTAGAAAAGCACACTGTGGTGCCATCCTAGTCTTCATAAACCTACCTTTTTATACAGAAGTCAGCTTTCAGAAACTTATTGTTGTTATTATTACTGATTTGGTCGTGGAGGGAGGGCCTTTACAATGTGTCCAGGTCTCTGCCTCACACGTTGGTCTATTTTTCAAAATGTTAAGTGTGTATAAAGTCTTAATTCTCATTCTTTTTTTGAAGTATGTTTGTTGTTGAAGTAAGTAAATTTTATTGTGCAATGAGGTGAATCACAATAATACAATTCTCAAGAAAAAAGAAACGATTCTCACTCATTTGGATAAGTTGCAGGTTGAGAACACTCCGATACTTGAAATCCGATAGTCAAATTTTAGGCCAGAAGACTATTTTTATGTTTTTGCCACAGGGCTCCAGTGGTGATATTCAGCAATCTTATTCATTATGCTGCTGCCTTTTCATATTCTTTTACAATATTATGGACAATATCAAATGCATTTTCAAAATCACTATGATATGTCCCATATCTTTCATACCAGTGCAAGTAAGCCTTTGCTTCAAATTTCCGTCTGGCAGAATGCAACAATTAGCACAGTGCACAGTTCCTAGTGAAGTAATATTAGCACATACAGTCAGAGATTTTGATGCATCTGTATTTACTTCATTTTTTTCAGCAACCCACACATCAATGGGGAATGGGTTCCAGGTAACGCAATTGTACGAATTCTTTAGCCTTGATGCAAGATTTGCCACATCGAGGTTGTTTGTATCGCTTCTTTTGCTTTTGGTAGCATTACGACAAACACATACTGCTGCTAATGTAGAATCGTCTATTCCATATTGTGATTTCGTTTGTAAGAATTTTGTTCTTGGTCCCTGGCAAAGCTTTTTAGATAATTCTGGCCATGATGAAGACTTTGTGGATGGTCGACTCGCATTCTGTTTTTCCTGTACAGTCCTGAATTATAAGTAAATATATTAGAGCAGGTTGGGCACCCCACATCTAAATGCTATCATTTATGATTCACATCGAGTATTTTTTGCGCCACGACCTTCAAATGGATCACACAAAGATTCTGGTTTTGGTGGGCAAATGCATCTCATTGTTTTCACAATTTGTCAAAGTCTGACTTGTCAGCAATTATTCAATGGTTGAAAAAATTTGAATGCCATTATTGTTTTTTGCGTCAATCATATTCATTGACATGCGTAAACAGATCACTTTTTAATCTGGATTACTCCATTACAAAAGTTTATTTTACCTGCAGTTTAAGAGCTTCATAGGATGCATTGGTGATACAGATCTAATCAATTCCCAAGGTTCTATGCCAACAGTGACACCATTTGGTGGAGTGAGACTAGATACAGGCCTTAGCAAATTAGATATGCAATCAGCAATATAAGAGTTCATTTGTGTAAGAGAGACAGCGCTAGTTGCAGAAGTTGATGATCTACTGATTGAGTCCAAGACTTCATCATTCTCAAACATTATAATACCATCACAGTCTTGTTGTAACCCTGCCAAACACAGTAATTCATTATATGGTTGGGTTGGACATTCCCCAGTGGAATGTGGTGCCACAGTCACACTGAGTTGATATGCAACTGGGTATCGATCTCTCAACTCCGCACAAATTCTTGCACCATATCCGGAACCAGTCCCACCAGCCAAACTATGAAATATAACAAATCCTGAGAAACAGTCACAAGCTTCTACTTCACGGCGTATAGCTTCCATGGAAGATTTCAATATGCTGTCCTCACTTCCGTAATCAAATTCATGGGAGTAAGAATAGGTATTCGTTAACCATGGGTTCATGACTTTTTCTTCTGGCATTCTATTGTAACCTAAAGACCAATTCGATCCACATCCTTTTGCACAACTTATGACATTCGCGTAGCCAAACTTGAAAGACGTGGCCTTTTTCCCTGTCTTGAAACTTTTGAGTAATCTTTGCAAAACCTTTTTCTCACTGTCCACAAATACGGCACGCATGTGCCCCTCTTTATCACGGCCTGCACCTCCAGGGTGTGCAAAATGCGCGTTTAATCATTTGAAATCTTAATCGTGCAAACAACAGAGGTCTTCCGCCAAATTCTTGGGCCTATCTGGATTTTCCACATTTTGTCCAATCATGAACAAATACGCTAGACATTATTTGAGAGGGTGCTATTTCAAAAAACAAAAAACACAAGTTACCTTTTAAAGGCATGAATAAAAATTGTGAAACACGAATGGTTTGAAAATATAATTTGAACATATACAAAAACAACATCAATAATAATGGGTGTTATTGCAAATGATAATTTATAAAGAAAACAAAACAGGGCCAGGAACAAGTTAGCTTTTTATTTGAACCTGCTTCGTGATTAAGATAACAACAGACAAAGACAACCTACAAAATAAGCTAATCTTGGAGTAAACTTCATCCGTAATGAATTGATTTTGCCATATTAATCTCGGACGGCAACATTAAAAAGAGGGTAGATAAGTTAAAAACACCACTAATATTTGTATAAATACTGGGCACTGATGTTAAGGAGGTACATCAAGTTAGGCACATTACTGATAAGTCTTGAATCAACTTTAAAAAACATTTTATTCAGTATCTACAGAGTAGTACATCAGTTAAAATCAAGTAGCAACAATACATCATCAACCTGATGATATTTTAATTAAAAACTATATAAAAACAATCATTACAGGGCGGTGTCTGCAAGCTTTTTATAATTCAATAAAAGCAGTCACTCTTCCAAATTTTGTATTTGAAATATTCTTAATCCATTTCTTATGACATTTACTTCTTAGGTATCATTAAAATATTGTGTTCAACAAGATGGAGAAAATTGCTTCACTAAAATCCTTGATTTCCAAATAGATTAGAATTTATTTTGACTGCGTTTTTCGGCCATGTCCAATTTTTTAATATTTTATTTGGAAGAGATGGCAACTCAAAACTACCGGTAAGTCTATTAATTTTAACACAATCGATTACTTGAATTCACTACATGGTTAATAGTTGAAAAAACATTGCTATTCTCGCTTATATTGCGGATAATTGTCCCAAAAATAAGATACAGATGACTCTGTCATTTTCTTAATTTAAAAACATAGCTTAAAACTATAAAAACATAGTTTCCAATGTCAATGAATATGATTTCGATGCAACTGACATTAAAAATTCAAACAGTCAACTTATTAGCTCTAGTACAAAGGATATTCTATAAAATCTTGATTAATAATAAAAACCCTGAACTTGGAAGATAATGGCATGCTGTTAAAAACGATACATAATTGCAATAATAAGTCAATATCAGTGGCAGGTTTTACCAACTCGTTCCAAATGTTCAATAACTTTTTTGGGGGGAACAATATCATCACTTAGTCCAAATTTCTTCTTATGAATTTTAGTTTTTGGCTGAATCTCATCATCATCAATAACGGCTGGTGATACTTCTTCATATGATCGCTTTTGAGGAGAGTTTCGGGGGATTTCAGAAATGTTGTTTGTGGGAGGTTTTTCAACTGCTTCAGTTTTGCGTAGTTCACTGTCATGATACATTTTACATTTCTTTCCAAGTCTACAACGACCTCTTCTATACATCCAACAGACCTGGAATTTGAAATAATATTTTGTATGACAAATTAGAATTCCTATAACAGAAACTTTGATATCCTATATAGGAGACATCAGCATGAAATACTGCCATAAAATCGAATACCCAATAATTCTTTACCGCGATTTTCTTCGGTCAATGTATTTATTGGCTCGAAAAAATTATTATTTTATATTTTAAAAATAGTTCAAACGTTCATTACATCATGAATAAAGCTAAATCAATGTCAGTTAGGTTTCACATATCACGGAAAATATCATGATGCATCCTAGTCAATGATTTCTATGAAATGGTACAGCAGAATTCAAAAACCATCATAATAGGCTATTTTTTCTCACTACAATTCAATTTTTATCTCAATTAAATCTGGCTTACCTTTTTGCCATTGACCTTGCCATTAATTGATTTCGAGTTTGTTACCATTTTTACATGTTGCTCTAAAATTTTGTTTTTATCATCTTGTTCTCTAAAGATCAATGAAACAATAGTTAAACTGGTGAATGATTATATTTTTGATAACATAAATATGTAATAGATAAGAAAGTTGAACCGCTCTATCCAGCTATTAGTGGGAGCTCATAGCTCAGTAGTCTAGTAATAACTGAAGTATTATATTACATTGAGCAAAAAAATTCTTAGCATCCATATCCAATCTGTAATGAAATGTCCAGATATCTGAATGTCATCACAGCATCAACCCATACATCCTTGAAAACCTCCAGACTAAGGTACATTGAAATAGAATAAAAATACCTTTTGTATTCTGTAGCAAGAACTGATGATTCAGAAGATACCCTTCGCTTCATGACAGATTTTGCTGATGGAAGTTTAATACAATTAGTATTCGTTTCATTTGCTCTTTTTTCTGTTTCCTGATCTTGTATATGGGGCAACAGCACAGGTGGTTTAGTTTTTTCATTGTTTAGTTTGCTCAATAACTCAACATCAGTTGATTTCTTTTTGTTTTGATCAACGTCTGAACCTGAACTTGAAGAGTCATAATCTGCAACCAGGTTCATTTTTTAAATTTACACCTGCGCTCTGGCACGCTCAATAAGCCTAATACTGTAATAGTAATTCGATTTTCTAAGATTCAGACTAATCAACAGTTTAAACTTGGTAACTCAAAAGAGTGATCAATAAAATTACGGTACGGTAAGAATAAATTTCTCTAGCCAGCGTGAGGACCCTTATTTTCATCTTTTAAATGCTGTTATTTGATATTACTGCTATATTTTGTATTTTAACGTTTGAGACACCGAGGGCGCTACGGCACCGTCAATCTTTCTTTTGTTATCCTGTTAGCAGCGGTTCCCAACTGGTGCGCGTGGCGCATTATCGCAAGTGCAGTTTTAAGTATTCTGTGGCATCTGCAGCTGCCGCAAAACCATGGCGGTATTTCATTACCATGGCCGCTACGGCCAAACTCATAGCAACTGACTTTTTAGCTGCCACAAACCAATGTCGAGCTGCCGTTACCGCGGCAGCAAATTGAAAACCAATGGCAGGTAAAATTTTGCTGCCGTAACCGCGGCAGGTGGGTCGTAAAGACAGGGCTGTCTATAATGGTGACAAATATTGGGTAAGTTGGAACGTTTTTCTTATGGATACAGTTTTGATTGATTTGGGGTTAGGGTTAGGGTTTAAGTAGATATAATTCCACATGATCAATTAAAATCTGGTACACTAATTTGTGAATATACCGTTAATACTGATTACTGAATACTGAATAGCGCTATAAAACCATGGCAAGAGCTGCCGCGGTTCGTTCGTGGCAGGAGCTGCCATGAAGTGGTAAGAACTGCGCCTCCATTATCGCGCGGCGACGAGTAGCGCCGTGAAAATAAACGGAATTGTGTTAAACCCTTAGTAGTATATATTTACGGTTGAAGTATATTAGCAATGTATAAATAAGCTTCTTTTTTCAGGGGGGGGGTGACTAAATTCTTCACAGAATAGTATTGGGTTTTAGTTGAGTCACAAAATGGTTCAATCTACGAACCCTTTTTTGTCATTGCAGCTAATAGATCTCCAGTAGTCCATCGCATAACCACTGTTAAATTATTATATTCTTGTCTTGCGCTTATTGTAGAAAACTATCTAATATATTCCGTCATGTTAACTAACACCTTATTATAGAGCTGAATGGACATGTTTGTCAAATCAAAGATCAATGTTGTTTTCTCCATTGCTGTTTTTTCGATGCCAGAGCAATTGTTAACAATATTGTCGGTAAACCAACCCGTGTAACTCCCGATATTTGGTCCCGATGTTAGATTCGCCGTCACGCCCGACTAGGCGCAGACAGATTATAGCTTCCAAAATCATCGTGCGTTTTCCTGTGTTTTGACGGCGTTGTCTCACGACAAGATTAAGTGAGTGGCTTTATAAATATTCAAATTAGTTGTGCATCAACATTAATAAAGATTTTATTATAGAATGCAGATTACAAATCAAAATAGAAGAGCAATCATTTGAAAAGGGAGGCCCTAGAACCGGTCCTAGCACTTGAAAGCATGTTGACCAATGACAGTAAGTTCTGAAGATTCTAAATTCACTTTAAGGCTCCAATGAGTAGATGTAGTAGAGAATCACTTCGTGCTACGATTGTTCAGCATAAAAAGAGTAGGTTGTGAATGTCCTAGGTAGCCAATACAGTAATGATTTGTCAAGAAGTGTAAATTTTGATAAGAGATCAAAATATGATGTAACCTAATACAGTACAACAGTAATATGTATATTTTCAGGAAGGAAAGGATCATAAAAAAGTTGCGGTGTGAGGATTTATGCTGTGTAGCTGTAAGCAAGGATATAAATTGACTAATAGGTGATGATGTATCTCAAAATCAGAATCAACTTACACCATACAGCCATAGCAGTGAAAATTTTTGATTGAGGAACTAAAACTTTCGGCAATAAAGATATGTGGTGAACGACACTACCCTGAAATTGTAAGGTCGGTATGAAAACATAAATTGAACACACATATTTTAACTTCAAATAATGAGTGTTTCATGATGGATTTTTTCCCATTCATTCTGTCATTGTATTAGGCTGCGAGCCGAGGCCATATATCTTTCAGTTTCGTAGCGCACATAAGGTAACTACCTGAAAATGATTTTAAAAAGTTCCTAAGGAATTTAGTAACAAATATTGCCTTGTTCCCACTTCCAAAAGTTTTACAGAAAAGACGTTTTTACTACAATAAATATGTGTTTACCTATTTTACCTGTCCTATTTTCTCTGCTTTTCCGGTATCATGGGCCAATGAACGCAGACTTCTGCATGACGTAACAATCAAATTAGTCAGCTGTAGGTGGATCCCCAGTGGTCGGATGAATATCAGGTTTTTTTCAGTAATTATTAGTTCAGTTATTCTAAGGAGGTGTTGAAAAGTATAAGTAAGATATTAAACACTTGTATATCCTTACCATAAATAGCAATCTTAGTTGAGCACTAGCTCATAAGACGTTGTTAAATAGGTACGGTGCGGTAACTCCAAGGAAGGCTAGACCTAGAATAATATGTCACAAACAACGATATTTTCTGGCTTGCATGAAATGTTTATGATTAATTTAATGACTTTCCTTGACTATTCAGCAGACTTATACCAGAGCCATTATATAACTTAGGCCGCGAGCCGAGGCCCTGAAAAACGCCTAGAAAGTGAGTTTCGTAGCGTACATCAGGTAACTACCTGAAAATGATTTTAAAATGTTCTTTAAAAATTTAGTAACAAATATTGCCTTGTTCCCACTTGCAAAAGTTGCACGTTTTACGGAAAAGACGCTTTTACTACAAGAAATATGTGCTACGATCTGTCCTATATTCTCTACATTTTCGGCAATGAACAATGACTTCTGCATGACGTAACAATTGAATCGAATCAGCTGTTAGCGAGCGGATGAATATTAGTTATTACTGCTCGACCTTGCGTTGAGTTGGGCAGCCTTTTCATAGGCCTGTTTAGTTATTATTAGTTGAGTTATGCTAAGACGTTGTTGAAAAATGTATAAGTAAGTTATTAAACACTTGTAGATCCTTACCACGGATATGGGCCGTGAGACGAAGGCTTGAAAACGCCCAGAAAATGAGTTTCGTAGCGCACATCTGGTAACTAAATAGATTCTTCAGTTTTGTGTGAAAATGAACATACTGAACGCATTACAGCTTGTTCCACATTCCTGATGCGAAATTGAATATAAGAGGTTCCCGGAAATTCAATAACCATAAGTTTACAACACATACATAAGAACTATGCAATTCGAGAGCCCTACAGCACACTAACACAAATGTATTCCTGTAATGTTTTTCCTGACCAAAATCGGACTTCCTCAGTCAATCATAATTTATTAGGTAGATTACGAAAAATATGGTATACATGTAACCAACAACAAAAAATACTGTAATTGTGTGACAGGAGTCGCGAGTGATATCGAAAGCAGCGACACCAACAACGCTGATTCACATTAGCAAATAAATTTTATGTGATAACCACAAGCAGTTTACAACAAGAACAGCATAAAAAGCTACATCCATTTTATAAAAGCTATCAAACGTATTTATTTTTAAGCAACGAAGTCACAAATTAACATCGTGAGCACGAAAACACAAATAAATCAGTTATTTCTCACTTAGAAATTTACCGGAAAAGTCAAGAAAATTAATGTACAATATGTACACAACATAGTGAACGGAAATATTACAATTAGTCTCTTTTTTTAGTTTATGTGGTTATGTATTTGAACAAAGGCAATATTATTTCTAGAAACAGGAAAATCGTGTTTTCCTCTATAAGTGTACTGTGATTTTTGCAGTCAATACAAAAACAAAAATCTGTCCAATTTAAGTTGATTTTGGCACACTTGCATAAATTATTTTGACTATTTTTCTTACACTTGCAGTTTGCCAACTCAAAGAACTGATTTGAGGGCCACATGCTTCTTCAGTGAATCATTGTTGGTTGGAGGAGTATAATCCTTATGTTTGCCAGTGTTAAATAGACGTGCCCTGGTATCATTTACATTCTTCATATCCTCGTCATACAGTGAACAAACAAATTCCTCAGCTTTATTTATTAATGCCTCGTTAACCTCAAAAGATCTTCATAGATGAGAAAAAAATGAATTGAAAACCTCAATGAAGTCTCCAACATGAGTTTGATGGGCAGTTCCAATTGCAGAAAAGTGCTAAAGTATTTCAATATGAATAGCCCATCTAAGCTGTTTGCAACTATTATGATTCTCATATACCTTTACGCTTCAAGACTTCTTGTTTAATCTATTTTATAGCACTGATAGCAGCAGGGATTAGAGCCTGCGTTAGGTCAGATTAGGTGGAACATTGCCGTTTTCTTTTGTAGTACAGTATCTAAAATGATGAAGAAAATCATATTTGGAACAGCATGAGTGTAAAATACCACTAAATACTAACTAATACCTTGAATACATAATGCATTTTATCTGATTTACTCAATGAGCGTATATATGCTCACTGCATGTACTACAGTCCAGCAGTGTTTGCATACGATTACTAGACTATATCTACACTAAATTTTGATATATCACAGTCTGAAATGCCCTATGACAGTATGAGTATGGACTATAGACTATATTTTAAAACATCAACTGTCTGTCTACAACTTGATTTCTCACCTCTCAATCGTTTCCAATGCTACTTTCTTTCCACTCCGGCATAACTTATCATTGCTTTCCAGGTTCTTGTCGACTCTATGAATTTAAATTTAGACCAACCGACATTAGTAAAATTGATTATTTCCTTCTCTTTCACACAACCGTGCATTACAGAAACAGCCATTAATTTCTATTCCCAAATATGCTGTGGCCTATATAGTAGTATAAATCTGCTGAATAGTCAAGAAGAGTCATTAAATTAATCATGAACATTTCATGCAAGCCAGAAAATATCGTTGTTTGTGACATATTATTCTAGGTCTAGCCTTCCTTGGAGTTACCGCACCGTACCTATTTAACAACGTCTTATGAGCTAGTGCTCAACTATAATTGCTATTTATGGTAAGGATATACAAATGTTTAATATCTTACTTATACTTTTCAACACCTCCTTAGAATAACTGAACTAATAATAACTGAAAAAAACTATGGAAAGGCTACTCAACGCAAAAGCGACCAGTAGTAGTACATCTGATATTCATCCGACCACTGGGGATCCACCTACAGCTGACTAATTTGATTGTTACGTTATGCAGAAGTCTGCGTTCATTGGCCCATGATATCGGAAAAGAAGAGAAAATAGGACAGATGGTAACACATATTTATTGTAGTAAAAGCGTCTTTTCTGTAAAACGTGCAACTTTTGGAAGTGGGAACAAGGCAATATTTGTTACTAAATTTCTAAGGAACATTTTAAAATCATTTTCAGGTAGTTACCTTATGTGCGCTACGAAACTGAAAGATAAATGGCCTCGGCTCGCGGCCTAACTAGTCTGGAAGCTCTCGCTTTTTTGCATGACACCGAGTTGTTGACAGCGACATCTGGTGTTGGCGTGGGTTTTACACCCCTGTCGTCTGCTGGACAGCCAAATCAGGCAGTTTGACGCAGGTAATGTTTGATTATTTTCAGGCCATGTTTACACATTTCAAATTTCGCGAAGTTGGCAAGATATAGAAAGAATGAAATAAAAAGGCAACTATTATTATTAAACTTAAATATAGACTGTATATGCAGAAAGGTAGTCTAGAATCCTAATCTACTGGTAACTCCGGTGCTGTTAACATTCGTTTTTTAGTTACCGGTACAGAGTTAATTATGGTTCCAAGGAAGCATCGTGTCCCGGATGGTAAGAAAAGGAAATTTGGAATGCCTTCAAAAGAATGGGCACAAAAGTTTCATCACGTTTTTTTGGTATCCGCAATTTTACCGTAAGTTTATTCTTCCATTTCGGAAATATGGTGTAGGCTACTGCTGTATGTGATGTCATGAGTTTTCACTGTTTATTTTGTGCCTAGTGTTAGCCATTTATTAACTCACTTATGACTTTGACATATTAATTGCTAAGTAATTTTATATTGCATCCAGATTGTGTTTAAATATCGCTACTCTGCTAATTTTAAAAGCAAAGTTGAAGATGGAAAAGCTAGAATTTGTGCTGATAATTTCAAGGATGAAGATATTCAAAGGGCCAATAAAAAAAGTTGGATTAAATTTGGAGCATCACCCACAAAATTGTTGCCAAGAAAATCATATGAAGTACCTCCCTGCCCACCAAGAAGAATTATTCCCAAATATTCATCTATAAAACCTTCATCTCAATCTGCAATTATTAACTACAATTTCATTAATGAAATAATTTCAGCTTTTGAAAGTATCACCTTCAAAAACTGGAGAATACATTAAATCAATACATACAAAACTCATTTCACATACTATTCTAATCACATCACGACACCGGAAATAAGCCTTCTAATACGCCAATTTGACCAAAAACAATTTCCCTTTTCTTGCGCTTTCGCTGGAGTTTATTCTTCCACCATATCATCGGCAATTTCAATACTACTCAAAAACTTGGTTGATCTCACCCCGTGTTTGGGATATGATATTGTTTCCACAAATAGTTCATGGATTCCCAGAAGTGTTCCTGAAATAGAAGATGATGGCAGAATTTCCTTGAAATTAAGGTAAGATATATTTGCATTCAGTCAGATATACTTCTATTTAGTTGTATTTTTAGTTGAATTTATTTTGGTATTGTATCAATACAGATATCTCAGCTCTCAATGTGAAATAGCGTATTCTTATGCTGGTACACGACCCAACATACACTTGTATGCGTCTCCATGTGCATGATCAAGACGGTGACAAGAGAAAATTCAGCCTTTTTACAACATCTATGATAAAAGATTAGAATGGCTTGAGAAAGATTTTTTAAAAACCTGGATATTGGAAAGAAAAGGCATACAGTCGGCCATTAGTGGGAGAAGTTAATCGCCAGAAAATGCTGCTCAGTGATGTCACAAAAAATGGCTTGAGAATGGCATCTATCTCTATGGCTGCGATTATTCGTATTGTTTTGGACAGTGGTGCGAACCATGTTTTACCACGGCGAATAAACCAAGACCCTCTAGAGCAGGGGTCCGCAACCACTTCTCAGCGCGACCCAAAAATTCTTTTTCTAATTTCTTGCAACCCAAGCATTTGGTAAGCATAAAATTAGTTATCAATTTTAAGACTATTATTGACCCTATCAATTTTCTTGCATAAAATTATATGAAACTTAGCACATAAAATGAATAATAGCGTTTATTATGACTAATGCGAATTATAAGCTTTGTGTTTCGAGCACAACATGTCAATTCGAGGTTTAATTTGGGAGACGGTAACTCGAAGATCTTCTAGCCTTGTTCTGTATTTGTTTTTTATGTATGAAAACGTCCTTCCACATAAGTAGGTAGTTCCGAATGGCAACAGAGCATTCATTGCATCAGTTAATAACTCCGGATATTCCTTTGCAACTGAAATCCAAAATTCAACCACGACAGACTGTCTGAATGAAGTATCTGAGCGCTTTTAAAATGTTTATTATTACGTCAAAATTTGCACTTCTAATGATTGGCCAATGTCACCTCAGTAAATAAGGAAGTGTAAACTCGGGGAAACATCCATAATTATAATCGGAGATTTATATAGTTGTTATACCTGAATACGCTACACAGACACGATGCTCATAATTATGGCAAATTTAAATTGTTTTGCGACCCAGAGCGAAGTGCTTCGCAACCCAAATTTGGGTCGCGACCCTGTAGTTGCAGACCCCTGTCTCGTTTGCTGTAAGATTCAAGTGTAATTTCAACACAATACATTCAGATACTCATTTTTGTACCTAATTTCTTGGTTTGCGGCCCGCGTGGCCAATAAATTTCAAAAAGGGGTCCGCGACATGTTTTGATTTGGAGACCCCTGCTCTAGAGGCATATTTTGGTCACCAACGAGAGCGAGGTTCTGGAAACCCCACCTTTAGTTTATTCACATCAAACTCCAGATCAATAGATGTTGTAAATTCGAGTAGTAGTGGTTCTAATGTTGCGATTGAAAATGATTGATAAATTTCTAGAAGCTGACTTCTTTCTGCTTAAATACATGCATACGGATTTATATATAAGTACTAGTCCATTTTCTTAAATTCGTTTCTAATTTTAGTGGCTGGCTCGTCTCTGCTTTAAATAATAGTTACCATAATGTATCCAAAATTTTTGGCTAAATTTTATTATAGTGTAATAATGAGATTATTTGGAAAAACAATTATTCAAACCATCGCGAAGCCCATATGATTTGGGTCCATATTTTCTTTTCGAAACGTTGTTCTGCAGTTCAGTCTTGCAATGGATATGAGCCCTTGTTCGAATAAATCTTCTTACAAGAATGGTCAGAATACTGGATTCGCTGGGGCTGAAGGGGTCCATGTCAACATTTCCGATAATACGTCGTTCATCCATTACCCTTTTGCATACTTGAGACCGGAATTCGTGTTCCACAGAGATTAGGAAGAGAACAAATGTTTCGGAAGCTAATATGAGACCGCCTCTATTGCGCTCTTCAAAGCAATTGGGAAGATCACGCCTCGAAGCTTGGTTTTGGCACCAGAAAGCACCTTCTCCACCTAGACGCTTTATTCCCCATTTTAGCAATCCCCCGGTCGCCTTTGGTTATTGACGTTTGCATGAATGGCTCAGTTACTTGAAACGCTTCTTTTATAATTTTCGGTGCTGCAGTTTTGAATATGCGTTTTAGGTCCAAATGAGAGATTTCAGAATTGTTCGAATATGGCTTTTTCAATTTATTTAGCTATCATTTTACTTTTGGATTCTTCCCTAGAAATTTCCATCATATCCGCTATAACATCTGCCCATAGTGGTGACTCCTGATTTAATGTGATGTTCAAATCATTCAATGCAGTCTGCAGTGTCTTCTTGCAATCAACACTTCCGTAGTCGATTTCTACTACAGATATGGCCCATTTTCCTTCTATCTCGTCATCAAGCTATGAAATATATAAAATCGGGTCTAAAACAGTACCTAAGTGCTTGAATAAAGCAAAACAAATGTGATGTAAAAATACTTCCAATTTTAAGCAAAACAAAAACGGTCGCTACTTTCATATATTAAACTACGGTACTATAAACTCTTACTATTCATTCTTTCGGGATCAAAACCTATTTTAATAAGCAATCAGTACTATATAACTCACGTCATCAAAAAATTCAAGCATTTCTTCCTCAGATAAATCCATTTTCATTCGAACTTTGAATACCGTTAACAGCAAGCAGCCTAAAATATACTGCAGACGACGCCGTGGTTATGAATTACCCACGCCAACACTAGATGACGCTGTGAACAACAGGTCAGTATACGGCCTTCCAGACTAGTTATATAATGGCTCTGCTTATACTACTATATAGGCCCAATGAGCATATATACAATGAGTGGAAACTTGCAAAGATTTGCTCATTTTGGTATTGTTCCCTGCATTTTACGTCGTCCAGCTAAATGGTTCGTTGCATATTAAGAAAACGCATTGCTCGCTGCCAAAATCCCTTGCTTCAGCCGAGTCGGGTGCGAAATTGGCCGTATTGAGGTCTGTAATTCTTCAATACATATTTGGTTTTGGGTTTCGAAGTATGGTACGCTGAAAGCATACAACTATGAGCATATGCTTATTGGGAATGCATATCTATTAGGCAGAAAACGTATCTACAGAACAGAATATGAACCAGTCGCCGAGAGGGGTGCGGTTATTTATGTATTTATTCATTGATATAACATGGGATTTACATATTTATCCATGGGAGAGGAAAGCCGAGAAGAATGCCTAAATATATGGCGAACCACGGCCTCTCACAATCATAGCTCTGTCCTCCATATGAATCACATGGCTCTGCGAGCTATTCGTTTACCTATTAAAAATACTGATTTTAACTATAAATTACTCTGGGATATCTTGCCTTTGAAAACAAAAGCCAGAAATTGGAAGAAAATCAGGGAATGAAACGTGTGTATTATGTAATGGAGAACCTGAGTTTGTTTCACATATTTTCATGTATTGTAAATTACAAAAAATATTTATGAAGAATTTGTTTTAGATATATTAAAATTGATTAGAATACATTTTGTTATCAATATGATTCTTGCATATCATTTAATTTTAACGATCCTTTATATAGTCATATAGATACTGTTGATTTGGATGCAATTATACTTTTGTTATCAATAGTGAGAAATATTTCAGGACTGCTATTAACTATGTGAGCTATTTTTTCTGCAATGCAAAATACATCTTGCGTCTGCTATTTACTATGTGAATTAATTTTTCTGCAATGTAAAGTATTTCCATAACTGCTTTTACTATGTGGGCTGTTTTTTCGGTACTCTTGTAGTATGTGTACCAGGTTAGGTTACGATTCTCCTTATTTTTGTTCTATTAAAAGTTCGGGAATTGTCTGTGTTACACAAGTGAATATCCCCTACCGATAGAATTTAGTCCATTTACACAACTTGATATAAAATAGGCGAACAAAATTAGTTACCTTCATATTGGTACACATACTTCTGGAGCACCATTTTTTTTGTAATGTAAAATATTTAATATGTGAACTAATTTTTTCTACAGCTTCTGTATTTTTCATATGTCACTTTTCATTTCATCGAAAATACACATGGTCTGGCACATTGTTCATTCTTTGTGGAGATTTTGGTAAATTTACAGATGGAATAAGACCGACATTCAGCTTTTTTCTGTTTTACAACTGTAATACAAATTGAAGTATGTAAACCCAGTTGGTAGACACCGGAACCATGTGTACCAGGTTAGGGTCTACTACATACAAGCATTCCCAAACTCCTTTTTAGAATTTGTGAAGTCTTGCGCCCCACCTCAAAATAGTTAGCTAACAATAATAAGCTACAAATAACAGTAAGGCATAAGTACGTTTTATTGGAAAAACAGTTGAAAATACATGGATGGAACGAAATAAATGACAAGTTTTGATATGCAAATATTTACAAGTTTTGATATGTATAAAATTAGCCAAGTCCAGAAGTCAGTATTTTAAACTAATAGAGAGAGAGAGTTTATTTCGTTCGTCAAACCATGAACATATATAAATTATAATAAAAAAAAGAGATGCTCAGGTGTTTGACTGGGAGACAACGTTACAACATTTGGGGTCATTTAACAGGTTCGGTGTTAAATTCTTCAATAGCTCTCATATACCGTATTCACTATATACATTATTCACAAGAATTTTTGATTTGGAAAGTACTAAATAATCATGTTTTGTCCTAAGATCATCATTTATTCAGCTGATAAGTTGACATGTATTGCATATCAACTGCATAAAAATGGGTTAGCAAGGATACCTATTATTTGGAAAATTTATCTACTAAAAATTAATGTGATAGGACATGGGTTTTTTATGAGCAAAGATGAGGAAAATTCTATTATTATAGCACTTTAATTATAAACATTTGATAATAGTAATGAAATCATGAGTATATTTCTTTATACACTATAATTTGAACACATCAAATTATAATACTTGATTATGACTGGCAAGTGATTTGGAGGATAGTGACACACATTAATACATGATCAGGATTTGACCCTTCTCCAGCAGATATATATATATATATGAAATAAAGTGCTCATGTACATATCTATATTCGGCTACAGAGCACGTATCATAGAATGAATTTTAAGGCGAAATATTGATAATATACCGAAATAGCAATGATAAACAATAGGTTATTTTTAAATAAGTATTACCGGTACTAAAAAATAAATAAAGTGCTCATATACATATAGATATTTGGATACAGAGCAAGTATCATAGAATAAAATTCAAGGCAAAAAATTGATTAAATACCAGAATAGCAAGTATAATAAACATTAAGATACTTTTAAACGAAGTATTACTAAAAAATAAATAATGTGGTCATGTACATAGATATTTGGATACAGAGAAAGTGTCATAGAATTTAGGGCGAAATATGGATGCAAGTATGATAAACAATTTGATATTTTTATAAAAAGTGTTACTAACAAATAAAATAATAGATTATGGAGTTCCAGCAAGTGTGCTCATAACAAATAAAAAGATAGCAATTCATTTACCACAGTGAATTAAATTCATTACACATTACTACTTGCTATAACAGGGCACATGATACTCATCGTGTTTTAAACTTTTTTAAAGGTTTTGCTCGCTCTCCAGAACTCTCCATTTTTATTTGTTTGTATTGTCAGATTGTGGACTTTTCAAAATAAACTATATATCAATGAATACAATATCCCAGGTCACCACTTGGCTGGTTCATATTCTGTTCTGTAGTTAAGTTTTCTGCCTAATAAATGGTATGTATTCCCAATAAGCATTACAGTATGCTCATTCGTTCACTCAATGAGTGATTTTAATTACGGTTAATATAAATAAGTTCATATTCCATGTTGCATCCATGATTCAGTATTTATTTTGTTCAATTCCAGTAGTAATCCATACCATAATTAGGTTATTTTAATAAATGCATTGATATAAAACAATAAAAATGAAATTAGTAAATATAAAATACATATCATAAACATATAATTTTCTTTTTGAAATAACGCTTTACATAAATTTTTCAATTCCCTCTCAAATGGGTTGTTTATTCTATAATTCTCTATATTTTTCTACATATTATGGCCATTTTTATCTGCTTTTTGAGAAAGGCAAAATGGGGTGTTTTATTTTCGAATATAATAGAATTTCTCATGGTCAAAATTTTATATCTCACTATTGATTACAAAAGTATAATTGCATCCAAATCAACAGTATCTATATGACTATATAAAGGATCGTTGAAATTAAATAATATGCAAGAATCATATTGATAACAAAATGTATTCTAATCAATTTTAATATATCTAAAACAAAATCCTCATAAATATTTTTTGTAAATTTACAATACATGAAAATATGTGAAACAAACTCAGGTTCTTCATTACATAATACACACATTTCATTCTCTGCTATTCTTCCAATTTCTGGCTTTTGTTTTCAATGGCAAGATATCCCAGAGAAATAGTAAAAATCAGTATTTTTAATAAGTAAACGAATAGCTCGCAGAGCCATGTGATTCATATGGAGGACAGAGCTATGATTGAGAGAGGCCGTGGTTTGCCATATATTTAGGCATTCTTCTCGGCTTTCCTC